ACGTAAATCATAAGATACAAACAACAAAGTGATAATCAAAAGATGCTAAAGGAATATGTAATAGGAAAGATGAGAAGGATAACAGTAATACAGCCCTGCTATGTGGTTTGACATCCCATGGCATAAGACAGTGTTGTGGGAATTAGTTATTTAGCAGAGTGATGGCATGGGTGAAAACCTTTCTGTATCTCTAGTTGTTTTGGCATGCAATTTCCTAAAGCAGTGGTTCTCAACCTTTTTAATGCCGCGACCCCCAACCGGTCGTAAGTCAAGGACTACTCAACCGGTCGTAAGTCAAGGACCACTCAACTGGTGCAGCACCGTTTGCAGAATGGGACTTTTGGCGGGCTCAGCAGGGCAGAGACAGCCTGGACAATTCCTATTGGCTTTTGAAAGCTAACAGAATTAGACTCTATTCAAGAGAGTCTATTCTATTGGCTTTCAAAAGCCAATAGAATAAAACGGAGTAGCACAGCTAAGGAAAAGGGGGAAAAAATGGTAGACTGCGTTGTTTGGTGACCCCCGTGAAATGGTCGTTCGACCCCAAATGGGGTCCCGACCCACAGGTTGAGAACCACTGCCCTATAGTAGCATCTTGAGGGGAGAAGTTGAAACAGTTCATGTCCAGGATGTGAGGGGCCTATAGAGATTTTCTCAGCCCTCCTTCTGACAGGTCCTCAGTGGAAGGCAGGCGGGTTGCAATTGTTTTTTCCGCAGTTCTAACTATCTGTTGAAGTCTGTATCTGTCCTGTATCTGTACTGTGCCAAACCAGACAGACTCAATAATTCCTGTATCAGCAGCTCCTAGTTACTACTTTGTTGGACTATTACAAGATGCTGCATCTTGTAGATTATTCAAAACCCGCAACTGCTCCAGCATGGGCAGTTTTCAGTTCTCCGGTAGGCCCATATAACACCATTGCTTTGCAGTTTTGTTAGCCTTCCAGGAAACCTTGATTTGGGAAGAGTCAGATGTTGTAACCAGGTTGATAGCAGAGCTCTCCATATCTGGAATTCTGATTGGAATATACATTTAGTCCTCAACTTACAACCGTAATGGCTATAAGTTGTGATGGTCATAAAAGGACCAATTTTATTGGCCTTTTTTACGGAAGTTATTAAGTAATCACCACAGTCATTAAGTGATTGCCGTGGCTGTTAATTAAACCAATAGCTCACTGTGGATGCGGTTTTGCTAAAAACCAGACGTGAATGCTGATTTTCAGCAAAATCGGTGTAAAATGTGATTGTGTGACTGAGATGCTACAAACAGTTGTTAATTAATTAAAAATAAATGCTAGGATTCATACACGTGTTGGTGACTTAGAAATGTGACATATATAAAAAATAAATGTAGATTTAGTATGTGTGAAAGTTTTAATCTGAGATTGCCAACATCTAAGTTAATTTTTTTTTTTAAAGGTTATATATGAGCCATTTTCTGTGGGCCTTAATTTAGAAGACTGTAAATCAAAAAGTTCCAAGTTTTGAACTGTAATATCTAAGAACAGTGGGAAAAAAATATTGCAGACCAATATTGTAGACCAAATTTAACATGTTCACCAACTGTAATTTAGTTTTCTCTGTGTTCGTCAGATTTATATTCAAAGCCCTAATTATATGCCAGTAAAGCACGCAGATGTATTCTAGACCACAATGTATTTTTGAGGCTGGATAAATTGCCCACAATGGTCTGATTACTCAACTGTCTAGATTTTAAAAACAATTTTAAAACCCCTAAAACTGAGAAGGTTAGTAAAAGTTCCCTTTTTTAATGCTCCAAAAATAAGTCCATGAAAGTTGACATCATAATAAAGTGCTACAAGCTTATTTTGCATGGGTATATAATTTTTAAATATATAATTTTTTAAAAAGAGATGTTGCCACCCAGGATATGGACTTCAACTCCCAGAATTCCTCTGGGTCACTGCTGGGAATTGTGGGTTAGGGGCCACACATTTAAAAGGCTAACACTTATGACCCATTTTCACAAGACTATTGCAGTATCCCCACGGTCACATCATCAAAATTCAGACGTGTGGCAACGGACCTATATTTATGACAGTTGCGGTGTCCCAGGTTCAGGTGACCCCCTTTTGTGACCTTCTGACAAGCAAAGTCGACGGGGAAACCAGATTCACTTAACAATTGTGGCAAGAAAGTTCGTAAAATGGGGCAAAACTCACTTAACAACTGTCTTGTTTGTCATTTGGGCTCATTTGGGACTGTAAGTCAAGGACTAGCTGCAGTTCAATGCTTTAATGGAAAATAAGTTGGGATTTCAAACATTGGCAGGAAACATATTAATATATGTTAATGACCCAGAACGACCCAGATTGGATCCTGTAGCATATTAATACTTTATATAAACAAAGGAAGGTTTCTTAGACTGTTATTCAGCCATTAGTCCATCTTAGGGGTGTCAGTTGACCAGAATCTCGTGGTTTCCTGCCTCTTACGCCTTATCTACACTGACTTGATCAACAGCCAATCTGTTTCCTGCCATTCTTTCCAATATAAAATATTATTTACAGAGAGGAGAAACATTCAGCTCCAATTAGTGGGCTGTGGAAATTAATGTATTTAAAATTCCAAGTCAGATGGGGGTAACTTGAACACTAATTGGGCATATCCAAACCAATTTGGAATCAAATACTGCTGTAACAAAATAATGAGTTGACTAGAGTGACCTTAGTGTTTATTTAATAGTAACAGAATAACAGAAGAGGTATTTGGAGGTCTTCCAGTCCAACCCCATACCATTTTGGACAAATGGCTGTCCCAAGTATTCAAAGCTCTTCTTGAAACCTCCAATGATGGAGCATCCATAGCTTCTGGAGGAAGCCATTCTACTGATGCAATTGTTCTCTCTGTCAGGAAATTTCTCCTCAGTTCTAGATTGCTTCTCTCCTTGATTAGTTTCTATCCATTCCTTCTTGTCCTGCCCTCAGGTGCTTTGGAGATCCTTATTCACCTTTGGAATACTTATACAGAGAAGAGCAACAAAGATGATTAGGGGACTGAAGGCTAAAACATATAAGGAATGGTTGCCGGAATTGGGTAGTTTAATGAAGAGAAGGACAAGGGATGACATGATAATAGTGTTCCAATATCTGAGGGGCTGCCACAAAGAAGAGGGAGTCAAGCTATTCTCCAAAGCGCCTGAAGGCAGGACAAGCAACGGATGGAAACTAATCAAGGAGAAAAGCAACCTAGAACTAAGGAGAAACTTCCTGAAAGTTAGAACAGTTAACCAGTGGAACAACCTGCCTCCAGAAGCGATGAATGCTTCAACACTGGAAGTTTTTAAGAAGAGACTGGACAGCCATTTGTCTGAAACAGAATAGGGTTTCCTGCCTGAGCAGGGGGTTGGACTATATGACCTCCAAGGTCCCTTCCAACTTTATTATTATTATTAGCCAGATTGGGGGACGGGTTATTGTGAACAAAAACTGTGAGTCACCAGGCATGAATGCTGATTTGATGGCACATAATCAAACTGCTAACCATAATCAAACTACCCAAAAAAAGTAGAAGGAAATGGAGAATCAATCAGTCAATCAATGAATCAAAAAAATCTCTATTAACCCTAAGGAAATTGGAATTTGGGACACATTCTGCATTTTCCTGACTGTTGTTCTTTTGACTGTGAGAACAATTAATCAGTGGAATGGCTTTTCTCTTCCAGGGCTTTGCTAAAAGTGTACTTGCTAATAGCTGAGCTATATATGTTGTTAGCATTGCGGAAGTCCCCAAGGATGTGGTATATGACAGGGGGAAGCTCACAATACAAGTTTTGTATTGTGTTTATTTATAAATGATACTCTTACAGTCAACACAGAATAAATGAAATGCAAATCTATACTGTATGTCTTATTATAATAATAATAATAATAATAATAATAATAATATAATAATAATAATAACCCCAATAATAAATCCACTGACAATCCAAATTGCCGACTTTGCAATGACAAAGTTGAAACTGTTTCACACCTAATTTGTGAGTGCAACAAAATCGCGCAAACTGATTACAAATCTAGACATGACCGAGTTGCTAAATTAATCGACTGGGCCTTGTGTAAAAAATACGACTTGCCTGTGTCCGAAAAGTCGTGGGAACATAGGGTGGAAAAAGTTGTTGAGAATGAGAGGTTGAAGATCTTGTGGGACTTTCGAATACAGACAGATCGCCATTTGAAACACAATACGCCAGATATCGCAGTGGTAGAGAACTGAAGCATACAGCTGATTGTTATCGCTGTACCAAGAGATGCCAGAGTTGAAGAAAAAGAACTGGAAAAAATTACGAAATATCGCGACCTGGCCATTGAAACTGCACGATTATAGATGACACGTGTAACAGTGGTACCCATTGTCATCGGGGCACTGGGAACTATGTCCAAAAACTTTGCAAAACACATCAAGAAACTGCAGCTTCCTGCAATAATTCCAGCAATGTTACAAAAAACTGCGCTTACTCAGAACATCTTATATATTAAGGAGATACCTGGTTGACACCTAGGATGCTGGTGGAAACCCGTGTCAGCCATCAGCGCCAGCCAATTTGAATGTTCAGTTGACTGAGGTTCATGTTTAATGAATTAATAATAATAATAATAATAATAATAATAATAATAATAATAATAATAATAATAATAGTTGGAAGGGACCTTGGAGGTCATCAAGTCCAACCCCTGCTCAGGCAGGAAACCTGTACCATTTCAGACAAATGGCTGTCCAGTCTTTTCTTAAAAAAGTCCAGTGTTGGAGCATTCACTGCTTCTGGAGGCAGGTTGTTCCACTGGTTAATTGTTGTAACTGTCAGGAAGTTTCTCCTTAGTTCTAGATTGCTTCTCTCCTTGATTAGTTTCCATAAAGTGCACTTTGTTCAGTTTGTAATGTTGTGATAATAGAATCTTACCTTATCAATCTGATCTCTGTCGTCCCCATGTTTTCTTCTAATAGAATTGAATATTTCTCTTCTTCTTGTCCTGCAGATGAAGACCTTCTTGACGTAAACACCTATCACATGACATCTGTATGATGAACACCATCCAGGAATACAAAGTCCTCTTAAGAGACTCTTGGCTATCGAAGTATAGCTTGCTCAAACGCTGCAACAGAATTTAGATATTATTTTTTTTTAAAAAAAGAAGTTGCATTTGCTGCGGTGGCCCTTCTCCTTCATAGACCTACAAGCGCTGGCCTTGCCGGTAAAGATTTTTAGACTGCTTTTTCTTCTTGGCGCTAAACTGACAAGATGATCGACTTGAGTTTCCTTACGGATGAAGAGCAGGAGTCGATTTTGAAAGTGTTGCAGCGGGATGCGGACTTAAAGAAGATTGAAGAGGAGAGAATCAGGTAAGGGTCTCAGATAATTCCACACTGCAGGCCAAGCTGGCTTGGAATTGGGTATGTCTAATTCAGGGGTAGGCAATCTTGGCTCTTTTATGGCTTGTGGACTTTAACTCCCAGAATTCCTGAGCCAGCCATGCTGAGGGGAAAGGGAGAGGTTTCCAAGCTGAGCCATGCTGGGTCAGGAATTCTGGGAGTTGAAGTCCATGAGTCATAAAAGGGCCAAGGTTGCCTACCCCTGGTCTAGTTTAATGAAAAGAGGGGTGACATGATAGCAGTCTTACAGTATCTCAGAGGCTGCCACAAAGAAGAGGGGGTCAACCTATTCTCCAAAGCATCTGAAGGCAGGACAAGAAGTAATGGATGGAAACTCATCAAGGAGAGAACCAATCTAGAAATAGGAAATTTCCTGACAGAACAATTAATCAATTGAATGTCTTGCCTCCAGAAGTTGTGGGTGCTCCAACACTGGAGGTTTTTAAGAAGAGATTGGACAGCCATTTATTTGTCTGTTTGGCCGCATTCTTTAATTATTATGATTTTTTTTACATTGTTTCATTTTTTTTACATTTCTATTACTGTGTTTTACTAGTTATTTTTTTTAAAAAAAGTCAACCAATTAAAGATGTGACTGCAAAAAAAAGCAGCATGGAAATTATCAGTGCATATATTAAATGTGATTTTATTGAAATGATTTATGGATGTTTTCTTTGTCAGTTGTGACCTATACATTGAAGAATAATAGTCAACAATAGGCTCATTTATGACTGTGCTAAAGATTCCTTTGATTTTTATTTAGTAGTGAACATACATAAAGCACACCAACATAAAGACAAAAAGGAAACATTACTTAAACCCCAAGAATATTAACATTCATTTATTTTAACTGCAAGAAAGAAATGGAGATAATTTTATTTTCCTGCAGAGTTCAAGTTTGAGAACTGTTTCTGAAAAAAACCTGCCCCTTTTTTTGACCAGTTTTTATAATAGGACATTCTAGAGCAGAGGTGTCCGACATTGGCAACTTTAAGATGGCTGGCTGGAGAATTCTGGGAATTGAAATCCACGCATCTTAAAGTTGCCAAGATTGAGAATCCATGTTCTAGATAACTTCTAATGGAGAACACGGATTCTATGAAAGTTTTGTCTCCAGCCAAAGTCTATGACGTATCTTCTTGGTTGTAATTTTTTTGGTTTGTGGTTTTAGACTTTCCTTGCTTGAGATCTAATCTGGCCTGTGGCATTTGTCTGCATTCCATTCTTAGGACTTTTTTTGGGTGAGAGGTGAATTAAGAGCCACACAGCTAACTACATTTTAGCCTTTGCGCAAGATCTAATAAACATCTAGCAAGATGTCCCAGTCTGCTCAGTGAGCTGACGAAGAAGGGGAAAACTTTAAATTCAACCAGTAGGTCTGCAGTACTCATTGGTTTGTGAGTGTAATAACGGCATACAGATACCCAGTGGGTTTAAAGATAGGTTAAAAATAAACTGGCACTTTTGGACTCTTACCACCAAGCCACTGGCACCGTGCAGTCTGAGAAAGTGAAGTGTTGTGGTTGTGTTTACACCAGGAAAACACCCTCTGCTGTTTGTTCTAGGTTTTCTTTTGTGGCAGAAGTCTTTAGAATAGTGTGTGTGTGTGTGTGTGTGTGGTGCTTTTTCTGCTTTAAACTCTGCATGTCAGCTAATCTGAGCATGTAAACTGAGAAGAAAAAACAATGATCTGGTTGATGCACAATTCTCAATCTAGATTCTGCGGGTATACCTTTAGTGCAGTGGTTCTCAACTTGTGGGTCGGGACCCCATTTGGGGTCGAACGACCATTTCACGTGGGTCGCCAAACAACGCAGTCCGCCATTTTTTTCCTGCTTTTCCTTAGCTGTGCTATTCCCTTTTATTCTATTGGCTTTTGAAAGCCAATAGAATAGACTCTCTTGAATAGAGTCGAATTCTATTGGCTTTCAAAAGCCAATAGGAATTGTCCAGGCTGTCTCTGCCCTGCTGAGCCCACCAAAAGTCCCATTCTGCAAACAGTGCTGCACCAGTTGAGTAGTCCTCGACTTACGACCAGTTGAGTAGTCCTTGACTTACGACCGGTTGGGGGTCGCGGCATTAAAAAGGTTGAGAACCACTGCTTTAGTGCTTATCTTTGTCCTCCTTGTGGACCCAGCTACAAATGAGGTTATCCAGAGAGTTGTGACTAGGTGCAGAGGTAACCGTTTGCAAAAACAGGGACATCACCAACTTCTTCCAGTTTCTACCCTGAAGCACAGCAAACAACTGAAGACCTGCTTGTTATGTTCTGCAAGAAATTTTGGATCACCTGATCTGTCTGTCTGTCTTTGTCACTCTACCTACCTACCTACCTACCTACCTACCTACCTACCTACTTATCTACCTACTGCTTACCTATCCATCCATCCATCCATCCATCCAGTGGTGGGATTCAGCCAGTTCGCATCACTTCGGAAGAACCGGTAACTAATTTTTTGTTGCCCAGGCCCAGAATGGACTTCCGGAAGCGGCATCCACACAGAGAACTGGTTGTTCACATATTTGAATCCCACCACTCCACCAATCCATCTATCTTTCTATCTACTTACCTACCTATCTACCCACCCATCTTCCTCCCTCCCTCCCTCCCTCCCTCCCTCCCTCCCTCCTTTCTTTTTCTTTCTTTCTTTCTTTTTATCATCTGTCTATCTATCTATCTATCTATCTATCTATCTATCTATCTATCTATCTATCTAATTTTAAAGCCATCCATCTATTCACTGAGCAAGGTGAGCATAACACCTTGTGGCATTTTGTAGATTGGACATTATTGTTTCTTCTAAGCAGGATAGCTCAGCGGTTAAAGACCCTGAGCTTGTCAGCTGGAAAACTGACAAGCCTGGATTTGAAACCTGAGTGCCATGTGATGGGGGTGCCCCAGCTCCTGTCCAGCTAGCAGTTTGAAAGCATGCAAGTTCAAGTAGATCAATAGGTACCACTTTGGTGGGAAGATCATAGTGTTCCGTGCGCCTCGGCATAAAGCCATCCTGGCCACATGTCCATGGAAGTTTCTTTGGACAATGCTGGCTCTCTTAGCTAGGAAACGGGCATGAACACCACCCCTCAGAGTTGGGCACAGCTGGACCAGGGAGACCTTTACTTTATCTTTAAGCAGGATGCAAAGGAGAGGGAAGTCAACTTGTTTGTTTGCTTATTGTATTACTCAGCTGGGCTGGGTTCCTCCTCTTTAGGAAGTCAAGGGTAAAAATAAGCTCTAAACCTTCATGTATGAGAAGTTACAGGGATTATCAGGTGGCTGGTAGAAGAGTTAGAGACGGAGAGCTTGTTTTCTCCATCTGAAGAACTGGTGAAGGAGAATTCCTGTGACCAAGTGAGCTGTAATATACAAGTCAGGAGATCTTAATTCTGCTGCTTATTGGATCAGTCTGTGATGTGTGCCAGAGTTTTAAATTTCCACTTGGCTCCTCTGCCCTGAAGGAGGAAAGGAGAAATTTAGCCATCAAACCATGTTCTAACAAGGTCTCTAAATCAGTGGTTCTCAACCTTTTTAATGCCGCGACCCCCAACCGGTAATAAGTCGAGGACTACTCAACCGGTTGTAAGTAGAGGACTACTCAACTGGTGCAGCACCATTTGCTGAATGGGACTTTTGGTGGGCTCTGCAGGGCAGAGACAGCCTGGACAATTCCTATTGGCTTTTGAAATCCAATAGAATTAGACTCTATTCAAGAGAGTCTATTCTATTGGCTTTCAAAAGCCAATAGAATAAAAGGAGTAGCACAGCTAAGGAAAAGGGGAAAAAAATGGCGGACTGTGTTGTTTGGCGACCCCCGTGAAATGGTCGTTCGACCTCAAATGGGGTCCTGACCCACAGGTTGAGAACCACTGCTCTAAATGCTAGAATACTTTATAATATATATATTCTTGGTTTGTCACTCTCTTTTTTTAACACATTTTATTGTTTTTTTAAAAAATTCATAAGAAAAAGTACTCAGGACCCACCTTGGTGGTTGGGTGGTCAAACATACAAAAGTAAAAATATACATCAACAACACAACTCAATAAATTTCACTAACCCCTCTCTATTCCCCTCAATTAACATAATACATTAAAATGTTCCATTTCTATTTTAAATTTCTATCACTATTAAACCTGTATTATAACTTTATCAGTTTACAATTACAGTAGTTTAAATTTAAAACAAAAAATTATCAGATCTAATTCTTAATCTCTCACATCCCTCATTTTATCATCAATCTCTATTTCTTCTTCCACTACACAATAGATATCCTAATAGCAATAAAATATTGATCAGCCCTATTTATATGTAATCCCAAAGTCAATCCATGTCTTTAAAATAACGAAATAATATTAAACCTTAATTCATTCAAATTCATTAAACAAAATTCAAATTTTCTCCAATTACTTATCATGTCTTTTGATCGTTGTTTTGAGATCTTAATTGGGCTTCTTATGTTCAGGCAGTCCTTGACTTACAACAGTTCATTTAGTAATAAATGTAGATAATGCCTTTTGTCTAATCCAAGAAGTCAATTTATCCATTTCAGCCAAATCTGTCAACTTCAACAACCATTCCTTCCTAGTGGCTAGCGTCAAGTCTTTCCATGCATAAAATAACCTCGCTACAGTAATCATATATTGAAATAAAATTTAATGAAAATTAATTGGTTGGCTGTTCACTTGTTTCAGGATTTTTTTTGCACTGTAGTGTTCATTTGTGGGAAGCATTTTTGGGGTGCATTAAGGGTTTTAGAGATGGGCCAATCAGAACAGATTCATCATCTCCGGCTAATATGGCCATTAATTGGAAAAATACGTGTTGTCAGTTTTGGTCAAATATCTATTTCCACTTGTATACACTCTAAAACATATTCATTCCTTTTATTCGATTTATATAGCTTCCGATCATGCAACTGCTTGTCTGAACGGCAGTCAGAAAATTAAACCAACGAAACATGAATAAATAAGGGTAACTAAGAATAAAACAACTATAGCACAATTGAATCCCAATCTTAAACCATACAATTCCAGTCGTGTCAGAAATAAGCCTTTATAGCTAAGACTATTTAACCAACAGCAGACAGAAAGCATGAATTCTAACCAATAAAAGTTGTCCAAACACAAATGAGGTATAAAGTTTCAGAAATCCTTGACCTTTTCATCACTCCTTCTAACAATTGATTTAAGGTTAGGATTAACAGCAGGCCCGTAAAGATAGACATTGCTGTTAACAGGTGGAATTTTTGTCTTATGACCAGTCATATTTATTCAGAGGGTGTTCCATAACTGCAGGTAGAAAGAATCACATTGTGGTAAGACAGAGGAGGTGGTTTAAAAAAGAAAAGTCCCATTGATATGCATTGGGCAATTCCAGTTAAACAATATCTTCATGGAAACCTATTGGATTGGCAAAGAAAAAAGAGCAAATATTTGAATTCTCTGGAACTTAAAAACATACTTAGAAAATTAGTTAAAATATATTATTTGTTTGCTCTCAGACCTATCCTATTCTGGTTGCAATATACAGATTAGTCCTTACTTAATGACCTGTCGGTTAGTGACTGTTCAAAGTTACGACGGACCCCGCCCAAAAGGTACATACGACCTGGTTCCATAGTTCCTCATTCATTCATTCGTTCATTCTCTAGTTCTACTGAATTACAGTTAAGCTTTTCTTGGTTCCCTACAACCCCAATATAATAACCACCATATTTTTCATTATTTTTCTAGGAATTTACCTGAAAAAGTAAAGAACGATGCCCAGGTCAAGAATATGAGCGGGCAGTGGTTTTATGAAGCCAAGTCAAAGAGACACAAAGAGAAAATACAGGGAGCTGATATTATCCGAGCATCAATAAGAAGGAAGCCCTTGACAATAGGTATGTCAATTTGAAAAAGAAAAAAGAAAAAGAAACATGGCTTTTTGAAAAAGGAAAAATGTTTGTTTAGGCAGATCTTCCGTCAAGAACACACTGTGTTATGGTTAAAATGAGGAAGAGCTTTCAGTGGTCTGGATTCAAGTCAGTTTTCTTCCAGCCTTCAGCCTTTTAAATGTTTGGGACCTCAACTCCCATGTTTGAACTGAATTCCAAGCCAGCACAATCAGTCGCTCTCCCTAACTGGAGAATCTACCTATCTACCTGCCTGCCTGCCTGCTTGCTATCTGTCTGTCTGTCTGTCTCTGTTGGTCTGTCTGTCTGTCTGTCTGTCTGCTTGCCTGCCTGCTTATTTATCTACTTGCCTACCTATTTACTAGGTACCTATCTATTGACCTAGCCACCCATTTATCTACCCCACTACCTGTTTGTCTGTTTGCCTACCTGCCTCTCTACTACCTGCCTGCCTCTCCACCTGCCTGCCAGCCTATCTGTCTGCCTACCTGCTTGCTTGCTTATCTAACTGCCTACCTTCCTGCCTCTCTACCTACCTGCCTGCCTCTTTATTACCTTCCTGCCTCTCTACTTACCTGCCTGCCTCTCTACTTACCTGCCTGCCTCTCTACCTACCTTCCTGCCTCTCTACTACCTTCCTGCCTCTCTACTTACCTGCCTGCCAGCCTATCTACCTACCCACCTGTCTGACTACCTGCTTGCTTGCTTATCTGTCTGCCTGCCTCTCTACCTACCTGCCTGCCTGCCTACCTACCTACCTGGCCACTCACTCTCCAAGCAACCCAGAATCAGTGGAAGTCAATATATTAAATGAAGACTCTCTCCCTCAATGAAAATGCTTAGATGACTTATCCACACTCCATCTTGTTCAAGAAATAACTGGGTGTCTGCAGAACAACTAATTTATCTTAAACGGGTAGTCCTCAAATTATGACCAAAATTGGGACCAGAGAGTTTGTTGTTAAGCAGAGTGGTCACTAAGACTGTACCTGATTTTATAACCTTTTTGCTGAGGTTGTTAAGTGAGCCACCAAGCGACTGTGATTTGCAATCTCCCGCCGGCTTCCCCATTGACTTTGCTTGTCAGAAACCAGTTAGGAAGGTTAAAGATGGCGATCATATGACCCCGGGATGCTGCAGCCATCTTAGATAACCTGCACCTGAATTTCGATCACATGACTGGAAATGCCCCGATAGTGATAAGTGCACGGACAGATTGTGTCACTTTTTTCAGTGCCGTTGTAACTTCAAACCATCGCCAAATGAAGTTGAGGACTACCTGTATAACAAACTTTCACAGGTCATTATTTCATTATTTTGAAAAGTGCTGCAAGTTTGTAGAGCATTTCATATTTTAAAAATGATGCCTTTCTTAACAATAGGCTAGAATAAAATTACCGAAGCGTCAGTTAGGATGTAGAATCTCAAATGTATTGAAAGTAATAAACAGTAGTGATGTTCCTGTTTCATCTTTCATGTTGATCAGGAAAGAAAGTGTCGTTAAAACGTGCAGGTTCAAAGTGTATGTATGAGTGGACAAAACAAAAGCTAATTTTCTCCCGTTTTCTGTCTCTGTCTTATATTTTAGCTGAGCTGAGTCAGAGTAAGTTGGGCAATGCCAAAAGCAGCTGGGTGAACAATGTCAACAAAGAGATCTTTGTGTCACCAGAACAGTTGGGTGTCATACAAGATAAGGAAGACGAGTCCAAATCTAACCACAGGTTAGACATCGCCTGACATTTGCGGATTGTCTATATTACCTATGATCAGATATAAACTTGTTTAGAAAATTACCTGCCGTGCAGTGGTGGGATTCAGCCGGTTCGTAACACTTCGGCAGAACCGGTAGCTAATTTTTTGTTGCCCAGGCCCAGAATGAACTTCCAGAAGTGGCATCCACACAGAGAACCGGTTGTTCACATATTTGAATCCCACCACTGCTGCCATAGACTACCCCTGTTCAGAATTTAATTCATTGGGGCACCAGTGTTTTATTTATGCTTTAATTTCATTCCATAATAAGCTTCGTTACAAGTGCATCCGGCCCTGTCAGGTTCTGTAATGGCTTTATTTGACTGCCAGGTGCAAGAAGTCAGGAGCCAGGATAGACTTCACATGTACTACAAGTTTTATTTCATGCTACCTATACACAAGGTCTCCAGAGATTTTCAGTCATCCAGATTATGGTGCTTTTTCACGAGGCAACTGGACTTTCTTGTTTTTCCTTTGAAGACGTTTCACTTCTCATCCCAAAAGATTCTGCAACTCCTTCCATTCCCCACCATCCAGTCAGAGCTGAAGAAGCTTCTTGGATGAGAAGCGAAACATCTTCAAAGGAAAAACAAGAAAGTCCAGTTGTCTCGTGAAAAAACACCTTTGGGATACCTAGACACAAGAATCTGAATTACTAATGGTCAAGGCGAATTGGCACCAGGTAAGAGTTCAAAGGGTGGGGGGCGGACTTAAGTCTCTTACATAAGCTTAGAGCAGGGGTCTTCAAACTTGACCCTTTTATGACTTGTGGACTTCAGCTCCCAGAATTCCTCAGCCAGCGTGCCTGGCTAAGGAATTCTGGGAGTTGAAGTCCACAAGTCATAAAAGGGCCAGGTTTGAAGACCCCTGGCTTAGAGATTCCAAAGTGATGATGCATTTGACCCCATCCTCAAACTCAGCCTGGTCATCTCCTATATTAACCCAGGTTTGAATTTCTACTCAGAGGTGGAATCTTGGGCAGTTTCTTTCAGTCTAGCCTACTTCCCTGATTTATGAGGAAAAAAAGCAAGAGAATCTGTGTTTCCCTTAATCCTACCCCTTGTTCATTACACAATCAAAATGACTTACCCTTTAGAATTCTACAGAAAATTGTAACATTTTCAGACTAATGGGTATTAGATAACCCGTGCCCCACTGGGTTATCATTTCAGAAATATTTCCTTAGTTAAACCGATAAACAGAATGAGCAGGGGAGAGCAAAAAAGCAGTAGGACTTGCAGTGACTTTTGACTTCCTGGCGGCTTCCCCATTGAGTTACCTTGTGGGAAACTTGCAGATAAGTGGCTACTGCTGGGTGGGGAGGGAGTGGAGAATTGCGAGATTGGCTGGGAAACCGTCACAGAACACTGAAAATGACAATCATATGTCTACAGCAACAATTGACCAGCAGTGCAGTAGCAGCCAGAACTGTAGCGGCCACAATATTTTTATAAAAGGGTTTACAAGTGAAAGGTCTTTCTTTCTTTCTTTCTTTCTTTCTTTCTTTCTTTCTTTCTTTCTTTCTTTCTTTCTTTCTTTCTTTCTTTCTTTCTTTCTTTCTTTCCTCTCTCTTTCTCCCCCCCCCGAACTGTGGAAAAACAGTTATAAGGTTTTTCCTTCCTTCCTTCCTTCCTTCCTTCCTTCCTTCCTTCCTTCCTTCCTTCCTTCCTTCCTTCCTTCCTTCCTTCCTTTTTCATGAAAAATATATATAGGATATTTTTCCACTGCATTTTCTCCTACAGATATTCCAAAACTAGAAATAAATGTGCCCAGGATTATGTTTCTCTGTCTCTCTGTCTCTGTCTCTGTCAGTCTGTCTCTCTGTCTCTCTCTCTCTCTCTCTCCCTCCCTCTCTCTCTCTCTCTCTGTGTGTACACACCACTTTTGTTTGAGGTGAGGGAGGGCTGTGCTTCTCCCTCTAGTAATATTTACTTGTCTTTCTGTGGGTGGAAGGAGAAAAGTAATCTTAAGGTAAAAGGTATTTAAGATACAGCATTAAAAGTAAAAGCCCACATAATTGGAATTCTTTTAGGAATGGATCATCTGAGACACTTTTTGTCATCCCTAAGGCTGGCATACATTTAGTTGGATTATTAAACATTTGTTTTTCAGTTCCTCCTCTCTTTTGTGCAGTCACGCCTGCTTTCATTGTGTGGGCACATTATAATATCTTCAAGGTATGGTGGAATATCCAGAGAATTTTTAAAAGGAGGGTAAAATTTACTCCACAATTATTTTTGTTAGGTATAGTTATTGATTGTGATACAAAGGAGGTTATATTGATGTTAAATTTGATTACAGCTGCGAGGCTGTTAGTAGGACAATATTGGAAGAAGGAATCTTTGCCTACATTGCAGGAATGGTTTCTTAAAGTGTCTCATTTGGCGGAAATGGCAAAGATTTCGGCTTTCTTAAAGGGACAAACGCAAGAGAAATTTCTTGCCGTTTGGGATAAATGGATAAAATTCATACAATTTAAATTTGATATAAAAAAATACTATATAGTTTTTTCATAATTTTTAACTCTCTCTCTATATATATATTCTATTTTATATTCTCTTTTTTTATAAACATAATTTTTTTTAACTTTTTTTAATTAAGCCTATATTCTGCTCTGGGAGGCCCTGGGGGGGTGGGGGAAGGGGGGGTTTGGGTAGGGGTGGGGGAAGGGGGGTTTTGTTGGATAATGTTTGTTTTTTATTTGTATATATTGTTTTTTGTTTTTGTATTGTCTTTTATTTTCTGTAAAATTTATAAAACTTTTTAATAAAAAAAAATACCTTCAAGGTATTAGGTGTTGTCCTGTACATACTTATTTTATTTTATTGTTTTGTTTTGTTTTGTTTTATTATTTTATTTTATTTTTATTATTTTTATGTGTTTGAGTGAGTGTTGATTCCAGGAGATTACCGGGCGAGTACCTGCAGTTTTCAAGGTTTTTCAAAAAAGTTTTGCCATTGCCTTCTTCTTAGGGCTGAGAGAGAGGGACTGGCCCAACATCACTCAGTGTAGAAGAGGAAGAGGAAGAGCTGGGGTGGAGTTATGAGAGTCATCAGTCTGGCATCATTACATCGCCACAAGTGATCCAAGTCCAGCCTCCCTTGAATTCCATTGATTCTTATCTGGCGCCAATTTCGTACTGACTGTTAACTGACTAGATTCTTGTGTATACAGGTTGAGCAGTAAATCTTCTGAACTAGAACTTAATGTGTGATCCTGATTCCTTCTGCCTGACACCCAGCTGGCTTTGTGTGAATCTGGCTTCCCCATTGACTTTGCATGTCAGAAGGTCACAAAAGGGGAATCACATGACCCCAGGACACTGCAACCGTCATAAATATGAGTCAACCTAGAACTAAGGAGAAATTTCCTGACAGTTGGAACAATTAATCAGTGGAACACCCTGCCTCCAGAAGTTGTGAAAGCTCCAACACTGGAAGTTTTAAAGAAAAGACTGGACAACTATTTTTCTGAAATGATATAGGCTTTCCTGCCTGAGCAGGGGGTTGGACTAGAAGACCTTCAAGATCCCTTCCAACTCTATTATTGTTGTTGTCGTTGTTATGTAAATTGCAAAGCATCTGAATTTTGATCATATGACCATGGAGACAGTCATGAATGTGAAAAACAGTCATAAAATATTCAGTGCCACTGTCACTCTGAACCGTCACTAAATGAATGATTATAAGTCAGGGACTACCTGTACCTAGGTTTCCTTAATTAAAAGTCCTGGCACTTAAGCCTGTTTAGATGGGTGACAAGATCTAAATTTCTTTTCTTATCTCTTTTTTCTTCAGTCCTAAAATGTCCAATACATTACAGAAACCCCAGGAAGGAACAAGGAAGCCAGCTCTTTCACCATCTAAGGTGAGTTATCCTTAGTATCCAGCGAAGGTAAAATGCCTAAATGAATATTTAAAAGAAGCAGAGAAAGCAACAGTCCTTTAGCAATAGCAATAGCACTTTTTCTGCAGTTCTAACTATCTGTTGAAGTCAGTACCTGTCCTGTTTGGTAGCTGTACCAAACCAGACAGTTATAGAAATTCAAATGATCTTCCATCAAATTTCCATTATAACAAACAGCCTCTTTAATGGAAGCAAGTCTTAATGAATGGAGTAACATTTATCTTCGTTAAAAAGCACTAACAGTGATTCTTGGTTAATGCAACTTTTCTCTTTCTAAAATCAGGGATATTGTCAAACCCAAAATGCTTATCAGCTTTATCCAGAATGACCAGTGATTGCAGTTGAGATACAAAAGCGTTTGGAGGGCTTTATTTTCTCTGTTGTTCTTTCTTTCCATGTTTTTAAACCATATAAATTAAACCGTTCCAGCAAAGGAAAAATCCGTTTAATGACTCATCTGGACCAGAAGATAATGCCAAAACTGAGTACTCGGAAAATGGAATGGTTAATTCATCGGAAACCACAGAGGAAGGTGAAGATTTTTTTTAAAAAAAATTATCTGCACAGTTTCTGTAGAATAATCAAAACCTTAAACAAATGTTACAATCTATTTTGGTATCATATTAGCAAGTCCTACTTTACAAAGTTATTTAGCAAAAGTAATGTGTGGAATGGGGGTGGTTTGGATATAATGGGCGAAATTGTGCAGTACAAAATGATATTAAGATACCTCCTGTCTCTATAAAATCATAGCAATTATATGATTGTGTTTTTGTTTATTCAGTGTTTTTGCATTTGGGCTCTTTTATCAGCGCTTCGCAAATAATTGCAATTTACAACGTATTGTGCTGGAAACTGGTTTATTTCTGGTTTTCAGCAAAAATGCCTGTGGATTTGCTTAATGACCCTCACATTCTCAATTAATAACCAGGGCATTCATCAAACCACTGCCATAAAAAAGGTTGTTAAATCTGGTGCAATGACAGGACGGCCCGCTCAGTGACCAGCACAACTTATAACCATAATTCCAGGTTCAGATATGGTTGTTAAGTTGAAGCCAGATTACACTTACCAGAACTGTTTCAAAGAGTTGATTATGCAGTATTGTTGGAGTAGAGTAATCATTGATCCATATATTGGATGTAGGATCATCTACTCCTCCTATTCCTCCTCCTTCTCTCCCCCCCTTCTCCTCCTTGTCTTTGTTGATTCCTGGCAACCGCTTAGACTAGTCCAGGGGTAGGCAACCTTGGCCCCTTCATGACTCGTGGACTTCAACTCCCAGAATTCCTGAGCCAGCATGGCTGAGCTTGGAAACCTCTCCTTGTCCCCTCAGCATGGCTGGCTCAGGAATTCTGGGAGGTGAAGTCCACAAGTCATAAAAGAGCCAAGTTTGCCTACTCCTGGACTAGTCCCTGCAGTTTTCTTGGCAAGATTTCAGATGTGGTTTGCCATTCCCTCCTTCCTAGGGCTGAGAGAGAGGGACTTTCTCCAAGGTGATTAATCTGGCTTTGGGCCTAAAGCAGTACTAGAACTCATGGTCTTCTGGTTTCTAGAACCGCTATATCAAGCAGGCTCTCCATGTGCCAATTAGCCAGATTTTACAAGCATGCCACAAGAAACAAAAGCTACTTAAAATATGTTTGGGTTTCCTATATTTAAAAAAATCTTTTTCACTCTGACCTTAAGCCAATATTTTTTTTCTTGATCCGAAGCCTAGCCTTAGTATGCAGCAAAATTGGACAAACGGACTTGCCTTGTATTGAAGAGGTCACACATGGAATTGTTCACCTTATACGCTGGAAACTACCAGTATTTCCGGCATATAAGACAACTCGGCATATAAGACCACCCCCGTCTTTGGCGCCGATTTCAGCGCTCGCGGAAGTCATCTTATACGCCGGCATTTACGGTAACATAATAAAAGTAATTCTGATTTTACTATTCCTATAGAATAAAGTTAAATCTTAAGCCATGTGACTTTGCACCCTTAGAAAGTATTTAATAAGCAGTTTAGCATCAATTCTTTTTCAGACCTATCATAATACATGGCTAGCTAGGGAATTCTGGGAGTTGAAGTCCACAAGTTTTGAAGTAGCCCAGTTTGGAGACCCCTGGTCTAAACCGTTAAGCAGTTCTTATCTGCAGTTTGTTTATAACCTTTTCTTTATATGTGTGTATCTCTCTTTCTTTCTCTCTCATTCACCTCCCGTAGAAAACCAACGCAGAGCAAATTTACCGAACTACAGCAGAGCAGAAGCATCGGCACAACCTTCTGTAGAGTTTAGGCAGACGGGAAAACTGCCTGTACCCAAAGCGAGGAAGAATGTCCACAAGACCTCAGATGCCAACTTGCAGAATAAAGATTCCTTATCTAAAGCATCTAAAAGGATCAAGCAGGTCAATAGCCAAGGAAGGCCGCCCAAGAGCATCCTCAAACGAAGCTCAAGTTCAAGTTCCACAGATTCTGAAGTGTTGCGTCTTAGTCAAACCTTGGAACCGTCTAACAAAAGTGGGCTGCCAACCTCCACCATCCTTGAAGATGTTGCAGAGAAGAGCTGTCCCTCAGGAGAAGACTATTCTCAAAACTCACTGGACAGACTAAAGCAGGTCAGGTTCTCCTCCAGTGTAAGTAAGAATGAACGTCCACCAAACCTTGAGTTGCACGAGGGCAAAGAACTTGGGGAGTTCAACTTGCTAGATACCAACTCCACTAAAGCCGGTGAGAATGAAGTAAATTATTTGGACAGTCCATCTTTTCCAGCAAAGCCAGCACGGTCCTATTCACCAGCTTTAGATGGTAACGTGAAGGATGGACAAGAATCTCGAGACGGAAAAACACGTTCAGGTTCTTACAGCTTGAATGACTCAAATCTGCCATCGTTGGTGAAAAGTCCTCCTGCAGAAGCTGCACTTCCAGGGGAACCATCCAGGCAGATGGGTCCCAGCACCATGGACAATGAAACTCTTCCAAGCGTGACTCAGCCCAAAACTAAGCAGCTGAATCCTGAGCCTTGTGACGCCACACAAGGCAGCACTGGTAAGAAGTACAATGAAGCCAATGAGATAACATCTAATCAAATTGCCACTCTTGTTTCATCCTATCTTCAGCCTTGTTTTTAGGAGTATGATAGTCCAGGAAGTCCTCAATTTACAGCCATTCATTTCATGACCGTTCAACGGTGCTAAAAAAAGTGACTTATGAACATTTTTCGCATGTAACAACCCTTGCAGCATCCCTGTGTCACGTGATCAAAATTTAAACGCTTAGCAACTGGCATGTACTTATGACAGTTGAAGTGTCCCAGGCTCATGTGGTCATCTTTTGTGACCTTTTGACAAGCAAAAGTTAATGGAGAAGCCATATTCACTTAGCAACCGTGTTACTAACTTAACAACTGTGGTGATTCACTTAACAACTGTGGCAATAACGATCGGAAAATGGGACAAAATTCACTTAACAACTGTCTTGCTTAGCAACAGAAAGTTTGGGCTGAATTGTGGTCGTAAGCCGAGGCCTACCAGTGCTTTTAGTATCTTTGCCTTTTTGTTAATTTCTCATCATCATATTGTTGTGTACTTGCTAATTATTTTATTCAGGATGCATTAAACAATGATGGAAATAGCAGCAACATTGTACAACAGAATTAGAATTAGCAAGTTATTATACTTAAGGAGACTTGGTTTATTTTTCATGTAGCTGGTAAGTAATAAGACTTGGAGGAAGATTTTGCTGTGGTGGTTGAGAGGTCCACGCTAGGATTCCAGAATCTGAACTTAAAATAGAAAAGTCCTTCTTTATTCCAATTGTGCATCTTGTTTTCTAATTTTTGGCAAACGGTTGTTTATTGTTTAGTGTGGACAAACTGGTTTCTTTCCATAGCTTGTGGCCAAACTGTCAGGCACAAGTATTCAGGGACAGGAGTTGCATTCAAAGTACTTCAAGTTTATTCCATGCTACCTATACACAAGAATCTGGTCTACTAATGGTCCAGGCAAATTAGCACTAGATAAGAGTCAGTGGAATTTAAGGAGGGCTGGACTTCGGTCTCTTGTGACTTTGTTGTGACTCCAAACTGATTACGCATTTGACCTCGCCTACAAGCTCTGTCTGGTCATCTCCTACATCGACTTTGACCAGGAATTTTAAATCTTTCATCTAAAATACCAAGGCATTGGCTATATTTGGTTTGATGATGAGAAGGCTAATGGGAGACATGATAGCAGTCTTCAAAGCTTAAAAAGCTGTCCCAAAGTAAGCATGGGTTTAATTTAAAGAGTAGGTCAAGAATCAATAGGCGAAAGCTTTATAAAGAGACTCAAACTTGAAATGAGGAGGAATTTCTTGACTGTAAGAGTTACAAAGCAATGGAACAGCTTGACTTCTGGAAGTATAGGGCCTTCATCGCTGGAGGTTTTCCAACGAAATTTGGATAACTATTTGATCTAGTTGTTAAGGCACCTGCGGGAGACCATGAATTCAAGTCCTGCCTTGGCCATGAAAGCCATCTGGGTGATCTTGGGCCAATCACCGGGCGACTGTGAGTTCTGGTCCCATCTTAGACATGAATGCCATCTGGGTGATTTTGGGCCAATCACCAGGAGACAATGAGTTCTAGTCCTCATTAGGCATGAAAGCCAGCTGGGTGACCTTGGGCCAATCACTCTCTCTCAGCCAAACACACCTCACAGCTGTGTTTGCAGTAAAAAGAGGAGGAAAGTACATTGGCTCTGTTCACTGCCTTGAGTTATCTGTAAAAATAATAAAGGTGGGATATAAATAAAAAATAAAATAAATGATATAAGGAGGCTCTCTTTTCTGAGCAGGGAGTTTGAAGACACTTCAACCCCTATGATTTTAGAATCCTTCTACAAAATGTACTAACAGCTGCATTTTCAAAACAGATTAGCAGGTTGTTCAAGACTTCTGCTGGATACGAACATTTATACATGTCTGAAGAATTTGTATAGGGAAAAATACTTTCCTGTTGGCATCTTAGATCTGCTAGAGCTACAGGTAGTCCTCGACTTACAGCCATAATTGGGACTGGAAAAATTGTCATTGAGCAGTGCAGTCATTAATCACGTGACTGCCACCATTTTTAATAAGCTTATTGATACAGTTGTTAAGCAAATCATGTGGTAATTAAGCGAGATATCATATGATTGCTATATGTGACCTTCCCTGCTGGCTTTCCCATGGACTTTGGTTATTGGAAGCATGCTGTGTATGTGTGTGTGTACAAATGCGATCAGGTGACCCTGGTTGCTGCAACATCATAAATGCGAACCGGTTGCCAAGCATTTGGATCGTGATCATGTGACTGTGGGGATGGTCACGAGTGCAAGCCCTGGTTGTGCATCGTACTCCTGTTAGAAGCACTGAGGCCGGTGGAAGGATTAGCCACTGACAGCTGGGAGCTCCTGTCATGCCCTGGCAGGAGCTGGAGCAAAGGACAGGAGCTCACCCCGTCCCATGGCAGCACTCAGGTCTCAAACGCAACCCATCATCCTAAACATGGGACCCACCATGCTTCTGCAAGCACTGGTTTTAAGTAGCTTTTTCGGTGCTGTTGTAATTTCAAACAGTCGCTAAAAAACGGTCATAAGTCAAGGACCATCTGTATATTACGAGAGGGAGTCTGTTCTTATGTGCCTGTATTCTTCCTGACTCATTAGAGTAAAGGCCATTGAAGACTTCACCCTATTTTTTCTACTTTTCGGCTGATTAAGTAATTTCTACTCATTCTAGTGTTCAGGGAGATTTTTTTTTTTTTTAAATGCAAATGCAGGATGCGGAATGTAAATAAATAACATGTGAATAGCTTTAGTTAAAAAACACTGATTATGCAGTTGGACATCCTATGTAATAATTGAAGTACAAATTTAATTGATTGGCTGATGTAAAACCCTATAAATTGGACAACATCTTTTAAAATTAGCTTTTAAAAATGCAAGCATTTTAGCTGTCGGACAATGTTTTGGGAAGTATTTGGTAGCCTGGAAAACTGCCCTCAAAGATAGTCACTTTTACAATTCAAAATACACCATCTAAAAATGAAATATATTTTTCTTTAAAGGTATATAGCAGAGCTGTGGGGAACTAGGGTGCTTTCGTGAGGTGTGGACTTCAACTCCCAGAATTCCTAAGCCAATATGGCAGGCTCAGGAATTCTGGGAGTTGAAGTCCACCTGTTGTCATAAAAGCGCCATATTTCCCCACCCCTGGTATGTAGTCAGGCCATCTAGGCAGCTTGAAATCAATTGATACCATTAATTTGGGAGGCTACCATTTTTTTTTTCTGTTTCTCAAGAAATATTGGCTGTGTCTCTTGTAGGCCAGGAGTTGCGTTTGGCTGAGGCAGAGGAAGCTGAGTTGTCAAACACCGGCTGTGCAGACCTTAAACAAGGTAAGCCTGATCTTGTGGGTCGCAGTGTTGACAAACATGCTGCTGAAAATTTGAAGGCCGCTGATGAATCCATATCCAAAGTGCTAGACTGGTTCAAAAGAAGTTCCAGTACTGCTGATAAAGAAACAGTTTTGATAACGCCTCAGCAAAGGCAATTTACAGAGGAGATGGACGCCCCAAAGTCAGTGAAATTGTCTGCAATTGGAGAAGATAAGGAGTCAAATACAGAGCTGTTAAATCTGAAATCCTCTCTGTATGAAAGAGGAGAGTCAACGAGCAAAGACTCAAGGTTCCAGGATATCTTAAAGCAACCAGAACAATTATCATTTTCAAAAAGCGAAAGTCCAAGTGAAGTGGTCCTAGGTGACCAAGCTCCTTTGAATCGAAGCAAAGAAAACGTGAATGCAGCTTCTCACAATATTCATATCAATAAGAGAACCCGTTTCCAGACCATTGATCAGAGCGAGGACAAAATGGACGAAAGCAACCGAAAAGACATATGTGAAGTTGCTTTTGAAGACAAAACATATATGGATTTGAAGAACTCTGAGGCTTCTTTCCGAAGTGGAGTGAAAAGAGAAACCAGTTCACAGATATACACTGATGGAGAGAGAGATGTTAAATCTTTCTTGGAAGAAGAAAACAGTGAGCTTAAATCTGGAGAAACTCTAAAAGATCCTGAAGGAAAGGACTGTAATTTTCAAGACACCGAAAATAAGCCCCACGCCAACAATAGAAGTAACCTGGTCCTGCAACAACATGAGTTAAGACAACCATCGGTGATAGGAGATAAGAAAAGAGTCAAGGATATGAAGGCTTTCTGGGAAGGTGGGAAGGTGACTCCAGAGCTTGGAAATAAGGAAGTTCTTACAAATGAAAATATGTCTAGTAATACACAAGAATACGGTAGGATAAAACCAGTGAGCGGATCTTCTGGATATGTAACAAGTGAATCTGACAATGAACAAAGCAAATATAATTTAGTTACCTTCAGAAAAGTTGAGCTAAGTGAGGAGGAGTCTGAGATGAAAGGTGATGATGTTACGTGTTCAGGAACGAGCAGGCCCATCCAAGGAGATAAATGTACAGAAAACCAAGATATTAATATATCTAACGAAGTACTTTCGAATGACCAGAAAAATGCTAACATTATAGGAGTGTTGAATGAGAGCAATTTGCAGCCGAGTTACAGAGTGATGGCATCTCCTAAAGAAAGTGAAAGGCCAAAAGCCACTGTTTTAGAAAAAGGGACTCTTCAGCCAAAGTCTCCTTTTAAGATTCATTCATTGAAAGAAAAAATGGATGAAGAATCCAGGTCTCAAATGCTCAACCCTTCCCAATTCCAGAGCCTGAGAAACTTTTGGGATATGGGGACTAAACCACAGAGCAAAACTGATGAGACCATCCCACAGACACATAGGAGTAGCAGCACTGGAAGTTGCACGAAAGAGTTACAAGAAAGAATTGGAAGTAGCCAAGCCATTTTGGATGATGGAAGATCTGGTTTTTCTCTTCAAGAAGAGGAAATGAAGAAACCCACTGCTAATACTTCACACCAAAGTCCTTTAGCAGAAGCCATGTTTTCCCCATCAGCAACTACAGTACCCATGCATTTAGATTATGCCCTAACAAGGGACGATGACTCATCTCCTGTGCTTCCAGGAAAGGAACATGCAGGAATAAAAGAAATTTCACCGGAAATACAGCATAATAAGGTTGTTAACAGTGGTTTTCAACCAACAGCATTGGTGGAAGAGTTCCAGGAGTCCTCTTGTCCACCAATACATGACAAAGGGATTCCATGTGTAGAGTTAGTAGGAAAGGGTCAAATGGCTCCCAATGATCAGATTCAAGAACCTAGTTTTGTCCCTTTAGGCACAAATGGAAAAGCTGGTCTTAAAACAAGTGAGGTCGTAGAGATTGTAAGTAGGACTTTGGTCCCACCAAAAGCTGCTGGTGCTGATGCTTTTAGTACGAGTTTGGAGAAATTGCTTAAGGAAACTTCTGATCTACAGGCCTCTCTCAGGCATCATATCATAATGGATGTTTCTGAACCAGCAGACCTTACATCAGAAAAAAGGGATTTTTTTAATAAGGTGATGGAGCGCAGCCATCATTCTTATCCCAGTGATCCAGAAGAGAGCAGAGAGGGGTCTCAAACAGAAGGAACTATGGAAAAACATCACTTACTCCAAACTCAGCCTGTGGAGTTCACAACCAGCATGGGAAGTTTGCCTAGATCGTTGGAAGAATTAAAACCCGTGCCTGTGAAAGTCTCTAACAAAGAGGATGGGCAAATGTATTTCAGTGATAATCGTGCTTGGGAAAAGAACTTGCTGATTCCATCCCTAGAGCTCATACAACCTGATACCTGTGGTGCAGCTCAGAACAGAACAGACTCTCCTGAAGAAGATGTTTTGGAGACGGTATCCAAAAATAACGTCCCACCAAACAGAAAATGCAGCGATTTGAACGCTAAACTCATCCATCTGTTGAAAGAATCGGCAACATGGCCCAGGACCCAGGACATTTTGGAAACATCATTTGATGATGTTCCTAAAGAGAATCAACAAAAATCGTATCAACAAATGAATGAAAAGAAAGACTTTGCTTCACTCCAAACATCCAATCATTTGAGAGAGGCTGTGGGTGAGACTGCTAAGGAAAACAAAGATACCAACAAAGACGGTAGAGTGCTGATTGTCATGCAAGATGGCACAACGGAAGTAACTAAACAATATGCAGATCCTAAGGAGAGAATCCAGGGTGAATTAGCTGGGAAGCAGCCTGTGGACACGATGGAAACAGTTGTGAAAACTATGAAACCAAAATCATACGATCCTGCAGCATTTAGAGCCAATTTAAAACAAATACTTGACGAAGATTCAACAGGGTTACTTGGAGACATAAAAATTCCTAAACTGACACATTCCTCATTACAGCCTGATCAGTCTGTGAGCTCAGCTTGTGCCAAAGATACATGGAATAGTCAGGAAGTAATTGAAAGAGTAGAAAAATCTACTGTTCCTTCTAATTCCAGACAGGTTGAATTCAAAGCCCGTTTCCAAACGTTACTCAAGGAAAACCCTGAAATCTTACCATGTAGCCAGAAAATCACAGAGAACAGCAACGGGATGCAAATAAACAAAAAGTCTACTGAGAACATAGGTTTTATCAGTTCACAGGAAACAGACTGTGGTCAAGAAGTTAATGAAACTGCAAACAACATTAGCGCACTACCCAGATTTCAGCCAAGAGAATTTAATTCTAGCTTACAGAAATTACTTAAGGAAGCTGCCCAGACACCACCTTCTCAACGTTTAAACCTTCCTCAAGAAGAAACTATAATGAAATCTGTTGTTCCGGCAAAAGATGGTCAGGCATTAAAATCTAATTTAGAAAAATTAATTTCGGAACATTTGGATCCTGCTTCTCGGCCACCCACAGTCGACTGCCAGAAAGTCACCAGCGATTCAACATCTAATTTAGATGAACAAAGGTCACCTGTAGAAATGTCGAGGGATTATCGTAGTGAACTTAAAATCCCACTTACAGAGAAGGCTTCCAAGCAAACTGACGAAGGAGCAAAGCTTTCAGAGGACATGGCCTTCCAAAAAATAATCCATCTTAGTCTAGCATCTTCAGAAACCCCATGTCTGGAAAAAGATAAGGATTTTTCTTCCACAGCCGATAAGGCAGAGGACAGAAGTATTCAAGGGAAAGAAGCAGAGTTTTCCACTTCATTAATTGATGCCAACAGAAGCCTGATGGTGGAGCGTGGATTGCAAAGGTCAAGCACCCCCCTTGCTGGAAGTCCTATCCAAAGTGGGGAAGTGGAGCTTTATCATGCCGCCCCTCCTGCTGGCGATGGCCATGATGTTGATGGAGATGCCAAGAATTGTGAATCAGATTTTTCGGACGGAAATAAATCCGTTCTGGGAAGCCAAAGAGATCCAATATGTGAGCATTTAAAAATTATTTCATTCTTATCTGGGTCTGTTTTATAAAGATTGTTAGAAAGCCACCTGGATGCTACATACTCATTCCCCCCCCCCCCAAAGCAAAGATGTCCTGACTTACAATTCAAAGGGCATAGGTTCTTTCGTCAGGATTTAAATGGAAATACATTTTACTCTAAATTAGGAAAAAAAAATGCTTATGTATTTTCTCAGTAGTTCCAGAACATCGGGCAAAAAATCTGTGCAGTAATCTAATTTATGATGGCTTCCTATCTTCCTTTTGTCCAATCAGTTAGAAGCCAGAAATGGTAGCATATGTTCTGAATAATATTTTTTAAAGGATTTCTTTATACCAGCCAGATATAAGTTTGGATCATCCTCCTACAAGATTAATTTCCTACCTTAGTTTGGCAGAGAGACATGATCAATACTGTAGACAGCCCTTTCACTTTGACAGCACAAATTGTTGGAAATTCTAAATAGTCACTTTTCCGAAGTTCGTTTTAGCTTCAGTTTAGCAAATTGAGACAACTTCACCAGAGGAAGACAAGGAAAGGGTTTATTCAGGCATTGCTTTTCAATCAATTGGAGGACTTGACTTCAGTAAACAGTTTTGAGTTAAATTTGCTCCATTGTGATTCGTAAGAGAATTGTGCCCAGCAAAGTAAATTTGAGATATCCATTTTTTTTTATTCCAAGCAATCTTGCACAGCTGGAAACGAGTGCAATATTTTATTTTATGCTTTCTCAGCTCTTCCTTCTACACCTGCTTTCTTAACATATCTGAACCACTGAGATTGCTTGCAAAAATTCCTCCTGATTAGAAGGAATGAGGAGAAACTTAAGGCGTTTCTTAAGATCAGAAGGAATGATCTTAAGAAAGTTTAAAGAAAGTTAAGGAATTTCTTAAGATCAGAAGGAATGAGGAGAAACTTAAGGAGTTTTTTAAGATCAGGAGGAATGATCTTAAGCAAGTTTAAGGGAACTTAAGGAGTTCCTTCAGATCAGAAGGAATGAGGAGGAACTTCCTAACAGAACAATAAACCCAGTGGAACAGCTTGCCTTCAGATGTGGGTGCTTCATCACTGGAGGTTTTTAAAAAAAGACTGAACAGCCACTTTTCTGAAATGGTACAGGATCTCCTGCTTGAGCAGGGGGTTGGACTAGAAGACCTCCAAGGTCCCTTCCAATTCTACTCTGACTAAATGGTTTAAAACCTTTCTGATAGTAGATGCTGCTGTCTGCTTGAATATCTACTATAACTTCAGGATGGCTTCCTGCTTTGCTTAGCTATCTGCTCTGTTCTTTAGCTCTTCCAACAGCACCAGTTCTCACGATTCAAAAGTTGGTTCTCATGCCAGCCTCTGGCTGTGATTCTCTTCCAGCCAGCCCAACAAATCGCAACCTGGTCTTTATCAATCATTTTTTCAGAATCCTATCAACCTCAAACTTTCCTTCCCGTAGCAACAATAACTAAGGCAACAGCGACTGACTAAGCCCATCACGCAAGAAGAAAGACACGTTCTTGGCATTTGATAACCTGTCATGAAACTACTCGTGAAGTAGCGATGTTAGATGACACGTCCAAACAGATAAAAATATATCTTGATGAAGAAATGGGGCTGTAGAAGGCATGAGATTTTACTTTTCATTATAAGGGTGGAATTACATACAGGTAGTCCTTGACTTACAACCACTTGTTTAGTGAGCAAAGTTGCAATGGCACTGAAAAAAAATGACTTAGGACAGTTTTTCATACTTACGACCATTGCAGTATCCCCATAGTAATGTGATCAAAATTCAGAGGCTTGGCAACTGGTGTGTACTTAGAACGGTTGCAGTGTCCCGGGGTCCGGTGATCCCCTTTTGCGACCTTCTGACTAACAAAGTCAGTGGAAAAGCCAGAGTCACTTAACAAGCATGTTACTAACTTAACAGCTGCAGTGATTCCCTTAACAAGAAAAGTCATAAAATGGGGCAAAACTCACTAAACGACTGTCTTGCTTAGTAACAGAAATTTTGGGCCTCAACTATGGTCATAAGTGCAGGACCACCTGTATGACAAGAAATGTGGAATTGTCCCATTCAGTGGCCGTCCTGGCAAATTTCAGCTAGGGAAGGGAAAAGCGAGGTAGTGAATAGTGAAATAATTTCAGATCACCATGAGAAGGAATGGTGATAAGGGCTGGCATTCTTATATTCTTTGATTTCTATTTTTAAAACTTGGGTGAGTTAACCCAGGTAAAGGTAGGTTATCCCGGTTGGGACATTCATCTGTGTGTTGTGCCGTGCTCATATTTTTTGTTTTGAAACAGGTTCGGAGGAAGAGTTGAACCCCGTTATGAAGGCTCTGAAAAGGAATTCAAATAGGCAAATTCCTTCCAAAAGTGTAGAGGACATACCATCAGCCACCTCAAGTGAGCAAAATCTGACATTTTTCCATGCCCTTAATATTTCTCATTGAGTATACCTTTGTCCCAGTCTGTCCACCGTTGTCGTTTTGTGTTACGTTTGGAAGGAGTAAACACCTTGAAAAGTTTTCATCAAGCCAATATATCTACAAAGCTAATCACTATAGGAGGGATTGAAAAATGTTATATAAAGTTGTTTACCGGGATTGTTTCAGAAGATGCCTTGTGAGACGGCTCACACCCTGCCTTGATCAATGCTATAGCTGTTGGTGGATCCAAATCCATCATGTCTCATCCCAGTTTTTATTACAGGCAATCCTCTCTTAAGAACCACTGAGTTTAGATCAGCAAATCAACGACTGAGTTGCAAAAGGAAGTGGCTCCCAATTGCAACTGTGCTTATGATCTTAGTTCAGCTTTCCTTTGCTTTACCGACGTAGGTCATAAATTCAAGGATGGGTCACTCATAAAACTAATTTTTCATCTTCATTGTAACTGAACGGTCACTGCGTGAGACCTTTGCTAAATGAGGGCTATCTGCACCTGCATTTTATTTCCATTACTTCCATTATTCCACATGGTGGATAATGCTGATTTGATTAAGTCATTGGCATGCAAATTGGATGAACTGCATCAGTAGAAAAATGCTGTACATCAATTATTTTTGAAATGTACTATACAGATAGTCCTGGACTTTAAAAGCCATTCATTTACTGACCATTTGAAATTACAACGGCACAGAATAAAGTGACCTGTCACCATTTTTCACACAACCACTGCAACATACCCATGGCCACATGATTAACATTCAGACACTTGGTAACTGGCATGTACAGTAGTGACCAAAATTGTGGAAATCTTTTGTGAAAAGTGTATGGTAGAAATGCCACCTTTGGTTAAGTTTCCACCCATTTTTCTTCTAATTTCTTTATAACTGTAGCCTTCTTCACTTAATAATACTATTTTACATCGCTTTCTGGGCAACCAGTCAACTCTTTGCACCATAACTTTAATTTTATTACATTTTACTAGCTCATTAAATGAAAGAACACAAAAAAAAAACCCCAACCAACTTGATAGCGATCACATAACACACTGACAAATGTCCTCCTCTCACCTTCAATACATGACATCAATAACTGAATCCTACTGTGATCTGATTGGCTTATTGCCAAAACAAGATGACACCTGATTGGCTCTCTAAACACTCGAGCTCATTGGCTGCAACCAGATGAAGGAAAGCTACCTGATATCAACCTAAGCAAGTTGTGCTTCCTTTTTCTGGTTATTTGGCTATAATGTTTCACAGAATACAGTACAGATAATTGAACAAACTTTGTTGTATTCTTGGTTAAATTATCTTTCCATTGATTTTTATGATACTACTCCAAAAAAAATGGTGTTATTAGCCATCAAACCTCAAAAATACACCTTTCCCAAAAGGTTTCCACAATTTTGGCCACTACTGTACTTATGACGGCTGCAGTGTTCCTTGGGTCATGTGATCACTTTTTGTGACCTGAGAAGCAAACTCAATGGGGGACCCAGATTTATTTAACAACCATGTTAGTGACTTAACAACTACATGATTCACTTAACATCTATTGAAAGGTCGTAAAATATGGCAAAATTCCCTTAAAAACTCTCGCTTAGCAACAAAAATTTTGGGCCTCAATTGTGGTTGTAAGTTGAGGACTGCCTGAATATAAATTGTACTAAAAATGTTGATAGATATCTTTCTCCTCTTCCTGTGGTACAGTACATGTGGTTTGTAAAGAAGGCTTTTTCAGAACTTGACTTTACTCCAAATTTCATTTTGCTTCTCTCCCATCTCTAGAAGCTTCAACCTATAAGGATATCCTGAACAGCTGAATTATCTAATTGTGCCACCATTTTTCTTCTTGCACAGATAAAGAAAAAATAAACCTTGCCAGGGAAGACTTAGTGCTTAGTGCTGAAGATGGTAATTATTTTATATGTAGTTGCATGAATTTAAATGTTCTACTTTAATGAAAATGTATGCATTAAGTATTCTGTGTCTTCAGTGACATAGTTAATAGCTAGGCTTTAAAATCGTTAAAATATTGCATGATTTAAACTTTGGATTGGCCTGTGACTTTTGATTTAATGCCATGTATAAAGATGACTCTCTCAGAAATATAGATTGCATTCCAGACTATGTTGCTCAAGTTTGAACCCACAGCCTTCAGCAAAACTCAGAATGTGCATAAAATGTGTGCCAAATCTTACATAAACTATGACATGCCATCATAATTGAAATTAAAATGGGCAGAACATTCCTAACTTCCTAGAATATTTGATTATGATTAATTGACCAGTCGGTGATGGATTGCTTTGGAAAAATGGATGGATAACCCCAATCAACTGATAGGAAGGCACGGCATAAATATGACTCACAGAATAGCCCAAAGCACATATTCCAGTAGAGAAAAGTTAGAGTAGAGTAGAGTAGAGTAGAGTAGAATAGAATAGAATAGAATAGAATAGAATAGAATAGAATAGAATAGAATAGAATAGAGCTGGAAGGGACTTTGGAGGTCTTCTAGTCCAGCCCCCTGCTCAAGCAGGAGAATCTATACCATCTCAGACAGGTGAATGTCCAGTCTCTTCTTAAAAATATCCAGTGATGGAGCGCCCACGATTTCTGGGGGCAAGCTGTTTCACTGGTTGATTGTCCTCACTGTCAGGAAGTTTCTCCTTAATACTAGGTTGCTTCTCTCCTTGACCAGTTTCCAACCATTGTTTCTCGTCCTGCCCTCTAGTGCTCTGGTGAACAACCTGACCCCCTCTGCCTTGTGGCAGCCCCTCAATACTGGAATACTGCTATCATGTCTCCCCTATTTCTTCTTTTCTTTATACTAGCCAAACTCAAGTCTCTCAGCCATTCTTCGTATGTTTTAGTCTCCAGGCCTTTGATCGTCTTAGTTGCTCTTCTCTGAATTTTTTCCAAACTCAACATCTTTTTTGTGATATGGTGACCAAAACTGGCTGCAGTTCCCTGAGGTTGGGCTCCAGTCCAAGTCTAGAAGCTCGGAAGAGTAAATCTCTGGTCCTGGTGACTGACCCAGATTTGATCTTGCAAATATGATACTCCCTATTATCCTGAAAACAAATGAATTTATTAGCTAGGCTAAGTGCAGTGAAAAGAGTTAAACAGTTTAAAAAATGTAACTTGGGGCGTCCAGCCAGGATTTGATTTTTTTTTCATATTTTTTTTTAAGCGTAAATGAAATTAGGCCTTGTAATTTGCCACTTCTTCAAGAGATTTTCTCTAATTTTAACATCTGGCAGCTCTCTTAGCCATATCTCATTTCGAAATATAAATGCAATTATAGAATGGCTTGAAAATAGAATATCTATAGATTCTGAAGCGAGGAGTAGATCCAGAGACAACAGTTTTGTCTGTAACACTGAGAGTGACCTTGCTGGATCAAACTAAGGACTTGATCAGTTTTGTTGTCCCAAAGGTGCTTTTTCCAACGGATAATTGGACTTCCTTGTTTTTTTTCTTTGAAAATATTTAGCTTCTCATCCAAGAAGCTACTTCAGTTCAGAGGAAAAAAAAAACCCAAGAAAGTCCAGTGGAGGTTTTTTGTTTTTTGGGGGGGGGGGGAAGCACCTTAGGGACAATCATGACCTGGATGATTGAGAATCTCTGTAGTCAACTAATTTTGTTGTTTTTCATAAAATCAACCTTTCTCCTGTGGGTGGAATTGAGAAGCACAGTGCCTTCAATCTGGAGGTAGCATTGTGACTTCAGGATTAATTCTCCCAAAAGTGCTTTTTCAAAAGGCAACTGGATTTTGTTTTACCTTGAAGACGTTTCGCTTCTCATCCAAGAGGCTTCTTCAGTTCTGAGAAGCAGCTTCTTGGATGAGGAAAAACAAAGTCCAGTTGCTTTTTGAAAAAGCACCTTTGGGAGGACTGAAGACTGAGAATCTCCGTTGATATTCAGGATTAATTGTCCTCCATAACCTGCCCAATTTTCCAGTCTATTTTCAAAAACCCATCCAAATTATTATCCATTACTAGATAAACAGATCCTGTGGTTAATTGCAGCACGGTTGTAATTAGAGCCTCCTTGTTAAGTATAACACTATGTTATTTGTGGTTGCAATTTTTTGAGCAGATCACCCAATTGAGCTCAGGGACAACGCAGCAGGAAGTGAGTAATAAGACCCTTCCTGAAATATAACATTTTCGTGACTTTTTGCTGTTTTATGTTATACTGCTGACTAACCACTAATACATTTTTGGAGGCTGTTCTGGTTCTGCTAATAGTTTGCATCTTATAAAACAAGAACTAATTTTGCGTTAAGGAGAGCTCTTGTGTGTTTAAAGCAAGGCATGATTGCATTGGCCACCTGAAGGTAACACCCAGCAAACAGAAGGAACCAAACGGTGGAAAACATGAGAATGAGGCAGTAATGCAAAAGAAAGCAATAATCTGATCACGAAGGATGTATAGCTCAGTTGCAAAATGGTCCTGTGTTTTGGGAAGGAAAAGAAATTGATATGGCCTTGATCCCAGAGAAGCATCAGGGGGAAAAATTGAGATTTTTATGTTCTTGCTAGATACAGAGCTCGCTTTTGTTTGTAGAAAACTTGGTGTCCACTGAATAATTCTACCACTGCTAAGTTTTGTTGTTATTTTTTCCTCTTCCCACTCTTCATCTGCTAGAAGGGATGATGAATGTTCAGTTTAAGAAAAAAGGGGGAGAAAAAACAGCATCCCATTTTCTGGATATTTTGAAGCAGGAAATATTCCTACAAAAGACTTAATGCAGTTTAAAAAAATAATAAATGTCTGAAAACCCTAGGCTTAATCTTCCTCTGTACCTCCATTTCATGATCATCCTCAACCTCAATTTTTTGGTAAAAATTTGTAAATTTAGTCCATTGCCTCCAAAACGTTATCCACTCCTGATTTAGGAAGTTTGTTGAACTTGGACGAGAGAGAGTAAAATTCAGATCATTCCTTGATAATATTACAATTGGATACAGGCTTTTTTTTTTCTACACAGAGGGGTATTGTTAACTGTTTAATAAATGGATTGATTGAATTAATCAATTGGCAAATGTATTTATAAATCGGGCTTGTCATGAATTCTTGATTTATATAAAATGTAAGTTTGGTATAAATTACTTTTAAGCACCAACTCAGGTAGCTTTGCTTGTATCTCATGGGAGAATTCTTGCAGGCCTATATTGTTGCAGGTGTAGGAATGACGTCCCAAAGATGCTTTTCCACGAGGCAACTGAACTTTCTTGTTTTTCTTTTGAAGATGTTTGGCTTCTCATCCAAGAAGCTTCTTCAGCTCTGACTGGATGGTGGGAATGGAAGGATTTATACTCCTTGCAGACAGCTGGTCATTTGCCTTCTTTTAGAGCAGTGGTTCTCAACCTTCCTAATGCCACGACCCTTTAATACAGTTCCTCATGTTGTGGTGACCCCCAAGCCCCCATCCAGCTGGCCGAGGGGGTATCAAAAACTTGACCAAAAAAAAGAGGGGAAAAAATGGGAAAGTGTAGGTAGTCCTCGACTTACAATAATTCGCTTAGTGACTGTTTGAAGTTACAACAGCACTGAAAAAGCTAATTATGATCATTTTTCACACTTATGATTGTTGCAGCATCCCTAGGGTCATGTGATTTACATTCGGATGCTTGACAACTGATTCATACTTACGACGTTCAGTGTCCCAGGGTCACGTGATCAATGGCCAGGGGGCGTTGCCAGCTGATCACTCAGGTTGCAGAGCGCCTGTGGGGGGGGGGAATCTGTGGGTCTCTGGGATGGGTGCCTGCCTTCCTTCCCTCCCTCTCTCCCATTGTCTCTTCCTTCCTTCTTTCCTTCCTTTCCTTCCCCTCCCTCTTAGTCTCTTCCTCCTTCCCTCCCTCTCTCTCCTTGTCCCTTCCTTCCTTCCTTCCTTCCCTCTTTGTCCCTTCCTTCCTTCCCTCCCATTGTTCCTTCCTTCCCCCTCTCATTGTCCCTTACTTCCCTCCCTCTTCATCCCTTCCTTCCTCCCCCCTCCAGGCCCAGGAAGGGAGAAGGGGAGGGGGATAGGCAGTCAGCGTGGCTGGTGGCTTTGCTGTCGGTGGCCATGGCGACATGCCAAACCTACCTGTGCACAGGCAGAGCCAGAGGAGAGCTCCGCCCAGCTCACTTGCTCAGCTTCGCCAGAAGACATGCCGCTTGCTAAGTTAGCAGAAGCTCCAAGATCAGTGCCGGGCTACAGTTTTCTAGCAAAGCTCGAGCAAGTTTGCTGGGCAGAAGCCAAGGAGAGCAGCTACAGCTGATCTGCAGTTCTGGGCTGCTCTGCAGAAGCACGGATCAGCTGTAGAGGCTCGCCCTGATCCTGGACAAGATGGAAGGAAGGAAGGACGGAAGGAACAAGGGGAAAGAGGGAGGGAAGGAGGGACAAAGAGGGAGGCGAAGGAAGGAAGGAAGGAAGGGACAAGGGGAGAGAGGGAGGGAAGGAGGGACAAAGAGGGAGGCGAAGGAAGGAAGGAAGGAAGGGACAAGGGGAGAGAGGGAAGGAGGGACAAAGAGGGAGGTGAAGGAAAGGAAGGAAGGAAGGAAGGAAGGAAGGAAGGAAGGAAGGAAGGAAGAAAGGGACAATGGGAAAGGGAGGGAAGGAGGAAGAGACCAAAAGGGAGGGAAGGAAAGGAAGTTCCAGCCAGCAGAGGCTTCGCAGCCCGGCTGCCGAGGAACAAGAGCGCAAAGCCAAGGAGAAGGTGGTGGCGGTTTCCTCCCAAAGAGGGCTCCTTTTCTCCACCCCTTCCCTGGGTTTGTGGGGAATTTCTCATCACCAACGCTGACACGTGCTCCTTTGAGCCCGCCGCGAGCTTTCTCGCCCCCTTTGCTTCTCCCCCCCGCTCATTGCTGCACAATGAGTCTCTGGGAAGGGCGGGGCCTTGCTCTGTGCCTGCGCTCTTCATGCACCCCCTGCAGGGCACATTTGGTACAGTTCGTGCAGACTGCCGCCAAGCAGCATATTTTCCACAAACAAGTGAGGTGGTGCGGAGGGAGGGAGGGAGGGAGAGAGAGAGGCAGTTGACAAGCCCTGCCTAAGACCATCGGAAATATGTGTTTTCCAATGGTCTTAGGCGACCCCTGTGAAAGACTCGTGCCACCCCCAAAAGGGTCGCGACCCACAGGTTGAGAACCACTATTTTAGAGAGTCATTGAGGCCACCTGGAGGTTTATCCAAGAAGGCTCCACCCCCATTTGCACTACTCAGGTGACCCTGAGGACACAGATAAACTACCAAGTGGCCTCAATAACTCTCTAAAAGAATGCAGATGAGTATAAATCCTTCCATTCCCCACCATCCCATCAGAACTGAAGAAGCTTCTTGGATGGGAAGCGAAACATCTTCAAAGGAGAAACAAGAATGTCCAATGGCCTTGTGGAAAAGCATCTTTGGGACAACTATGACCTGGATGACTGAGAATCTCCATAGACACGGAGGAATGAAGGAATGGTAAAAAATTCTTTATTTTAGAGGAGATTCGAAAATTCAGAAAGGACTTGCGTAGATCATTAATTATGCCAGATCTTTATGCTTCTTTGCAGCAAAGCTTTCTGGTTTTATGAAACGCAACTTGCATGTACACGTTTTTGAAGCATGCTTGTGGGTTGTTGTTTTTTTTCTTCCGAGAACACTTCTATATGAATCAATCTTTTTAGCAAGACGTGAATCTAATTAGTTTTCTCAATGTGAATTGCTGCTTTTTAGTTTCCACAGCACCTTCTTTCTCTGACAGTCAGTTTTCGCGTCCGGAAAAAATTAAGATGATGAGCAAATCGGTCCCAGCATTTCTTCAGGATGAGGCAAGTTTTTAACCTCTGTTTTAAGAAAAACCATAATGATGATTTGCTTTAAGGTTGCGGTGTTTTAGTAAAATGTATGGCAACTACACTCAGAAAGCAGGCGGGTAAAGAAATGAAGCTTGCAGATTTCCTATTATTGCAATCGGTCTGAATATTGTAAGAAAGAAGATTAGTTAGAAGGTAGTCCTTTTTCTTGGTAGTTCATAAATAACACTTTATGCATCTGGACTGGTTGAACAACTGCTTTCAAAAATTGAAACAGTCATCTGATTGTTTCATAGGTCACAGGGTTTTTTTTGGTCAGGACAAACTAAAATTGTAATTTGTATTGTAAAAATGTGTATTTGACTGTATAGCAAAGCAGTCCTCTGATTGCTTTTTATCCAGTGATGGCATTTAACAAATTGTCATCACGTTATATCTCTCACCCAATTATTTCTTCAATTATTTATTTAGTTACTAGGTTTATAGGGGGTTCCAGACACAACTGACTTTGAGGGGCTTTCAAATGGATAACTAATAATACGATTGCATTGATATCAACCTTTAAGTTTTGCAACATTGAAAGAGAGCCCACACTAACAGGGAGGGAATAAAACCGTCTCTCTTAAAAAGCCCAAACTTTATGGCCATAAACTGGTTTGCCTATGATTCCAAGAATGCACTAAGACAGACCTCAAGCAAGCCACAATATATAGAAGAAATCCAACTATATTAATTTCTAGATATAGGTAGTCCTTGACTTACTAGCATTCGTGTAATGACCGTTCAAAATTACAACAGCACTCAAAAAAGTGACTTACAATTGTTCCTCACATTTACGATTGTCACAGCATCCCCACAATTATGCGGTCAAAATTTGGGTGCTTGGCAACCAGGATGTATTTATGATGGTTGTGGTATCCTGGAGTTTGTGATCGCCATTTGCCAACTGACTTCTGACAAGCAAGATTTGCTTAATGACAACATAATATACTTTACCGCAGTGATTCACTTAACAACACCTGGCAAAAAAGGGTCGTAAAATTAGGCATGGCTCATTTAACAACCCCCCCTCGCTACTCTGGTCTCACATTGTGGTTAAAAATCGAGGACTACCTGTAACGTGGAACATAAAAGCAAGACTTTTCAATCTCTGGAATTAGAAATGATTTTTTTCCCTCATAGGATCAGGTTTGAGAAAACCTGAGGATTGCAACACTGGACACTTGTGGACAGATGGCCTTTAGGCCCAGAACGAAAGGGAAGAATAATTTAAAAAAAAAATACACCACATCCCTTGTTGTGCAGGCTCTGAGGTGTTGCTTGATAAAAAAGTACAGGAAACCAGAAGTTGCCTTTCAGCTTTAGGTTTTTATTCAGCTGAACAAAGACAGGCTCCTCTAAAAGAGAGAACCCCCGAATGACAAGCAATCCTTGTATTTATTCTTTCTGATTACATAAGTAATCCACCCAGCAAAGCTGACACACATATGATGAAGATTTCACCCATAAATCTGGCACACTGTAGATAAGAAGGGAGAAAGCAGAAAGAGCTAAAAATGTTCTCTTTGGGGTGTTTCCCTAAAAACATTGTACGTTCCCGGGTTGGGTTAGGACATTGGGTGTTTTCCTTGCTGTCCTTTCATGATCCTGCATCCAGGATTCTGCAAGTGCCCAAAAAGAGCGGGGCTGTGTGCACATATTCACAAGAGATACTTCCTATGCTGTCCCCTAATTCCAGGTCAACACCCTTGTCTTATATATATGCCACTAGCTAGTGAAGTAGGGCAGCTGACCCCCTTTCTTTTAAAATCGATCCAAGTCTGTTTGAAGAGGAGATGTTGTCTCTTTTGAATGCACTACCCCAGTGGTAGCACATATGCCAGAGACGGGACTCAGAGCCCTCTCTGCGGGCACGTGCGCTGTTGCCCCAGCCCCGCCTCCCCCCATGGCCCCCTCCTCACCAGCAGCCCCCCTGGGGGAGAGCCGCCCCCAGGTGCAGCCTGCACAGAGCAGCGCAGCCAAGCACATGGCAGCTGAGCAGCAGGGACAAGACTCCGCCCTCGTGCCCCGTCGCGTGCAGATGATGCTGCGGGGTGCAGGCGGAGGGCATAGCCGCCATGGTGCTGCAGGAGCGCCTGGGCAATCTGCGGTGGGCCATGGAGGCGGTGGGTGGCCCTGCAGGGGGCGGAGCAGGGCGGGCAGGGCAGGGCAGAGGGTGGAGCGGGGACGAGAGGGAGTGGTTTGGGGGCACTCGGTCTCTAAAAGGTTTGCCCTCACAGCACTACCCAATTCCTTCCTGTTGTTTTCATTAAGCGCTGCTTAAATTGTTGCATGCCAATTACGCATGCCACCTTAACCTGCGATAGCGATATCCCAGAGTCGAGAATCTTGGCAGAGGCTGTTTGTAGTCCTTGTTGCCACTTTTCAAACATCTGTGCAGACTTTTCTCTCTCCCCCTTTGTGCGATGTCTTGTAGAGCGATGACAGAGAGACAGATACAGCATCAGAGAGCAGTTACCTACACGGGAGAATCACAAAGAGCCCGAGTTCGTTAACCAATCTTAGCGGCTCTTCTGGCTTGGCATCCCTGTCTTCTGTATGTAAACCAAAGCTCTGGTTAATCATGCTGCTTTTGCTAATATTCTTCTCTCGCCTCTGACTTCTTCCAGAGCAATGTTTGGTACCTTTGCAAATGATCTTAATTAGTTATTACAGGTAGTGCTCGGCTTGCAACGGTTTGTTTAGTGACCATTTGAAGTGACTTATCACCGTTTTTCATATGATCGTTGCAGCATCCCCAGGATCAAAATTCAGACCGTGGGCATCTGACTCATGTTTATGACGGTTGCAGTGTCCCATGTGATCGGCTTTTGTGGCCTTCTGACAAGCAAAGTCAATGAGAAAGCCAGATTGACTTAACCGCGTTCCTAGCTTACCAACTGCAGTGATTCACTTAACAACTATGGCAAGAACGATCTTAAAACGGGGCAAAATTCATTTCACGAATGTCTTGCTTAGCCACAAAATTTGGGGGCTCCGTTGCAGTCGTAAGTCGAGGACTACCTGTACATCTTTGGGTTTGAAAACATCTCATCTTGGGATAGCGTCTGGCCAACTTTTTTTGAGTTGGAAAATTAAGGAAAGTTCCTGGATGATGGATAACACCAAATCCCAGGATGAAAGTTCAAACAACATCTCAGGAGCAGCAAAAGCTACTTCTGTAATGTTGCAAAGAAAATTGTATGGCTATGTCCAAGATTTTATGTCCAGAACCTCAGTTTGGTTAGAGAGTATCTCTTTTTTGTTCCTTTTCAAAATCTTGTCCTTTCTCATCAGTTTTTCAATTTTATTTCTTGAAAGTCCTTTCATTAGGGCCTTCAGACTGCTTGTTGGCAGCAGTGTTCTTAGGAACTGTGAAACAAACCACAACTAATTTCAATTCTTAAAAGGTTTATTGAAGACAGTGGCCAAAGCCATAGGGAAATTCATTCTGATTTGCTGTGACCGGCCAGAAAACCAAAATGGGAATCTTTTTTCAGAATGTCTGAATTTGTGAATTAATATTAACGTCTCTGGTAGCTGTCGCACCATGAAAATGTGTAAAAGTTTTTGATTTCTGTATTATAGAATACTTTTCCTAGCAAATCTTGATGAAGTTCACCCAGTGGCATGGTAATAAAGTAATGCACTGGCATTTTGAAGCCAGAATTTTATATCCTCTTCTCAACCTTGAATTTGCAGGACAGATTGAACTGACCTCAAATATCTGTAAAAGGGGTCTTATATTACCTTGGTCACTGCATTGTTTGGAGAATAAGAGAGTGGAGGATTGTCAAATAAATTCTAGCTTGTGCATAAAACAAACGATGAGTACCAGGACAAAATTTTCACGTCAAAATGTGTTGAGTACCAAATTCAATGAATTTCAAAGCAGTTGAGTATCAAGGTACCATTGTAGTAGAATTTAAAGAGAGGAGCAGATAAATATTTTCTGCTGGGTCCACTGTATAAAATTATTCTTTGCATGAGTTCTCTTCATGACTTTTGCTTACTAAAAAAATAGCATGCATTATATGAATGTGGATTTGTTTTATAAAAATTTTTATTTTCAATTTTACAATACATTACAATCTTAAAAATACTTCAGGTAAAAAATAAAACAAATTGATACACACCACTTTCGGTATTGACTACCCATTTCCCCCCAAACCGCATCCACCCTCTAACCAACTTACTTCTTTCCCTCTTCTTCCTCACTCACCCCCTCTCCTCCTTCTCCTCAACCTTCCTACTTACTTCTCGCCTTCTTCTTCTCACTCCGGATGCGGTCCAGGGGAAATGCCCGAGCAATGCCTCTCTCCAAATTGAAACATTAATATTATATACAGTAAAACTATTTCTACTTTATCTGAACTACTTAAACTTCAACCCATCCACCCCCCCTCCCCCCCTCACCCCCCCCCGACTTCCCAGAGGAAAGTACAGGATTATACAAACATACTAAACATAATCTATTTAAGTTTACTAATTATACAATGAACAAAATCATATTAACCCTTAACTCTCTTCAAACTTTAACATCATAAATTTATAAACAAATTCATTACTCATAAAATAAATGAAACTTTGTAGTTCCATACTTCTTCTGGACATATTCTATCCATCTTCTCCATACATTAAAATATCTCTCTTGTGAATGGTCCTTTAAATAAGCAATGAATGTGGATTATATCTCCCTTTGAATAACAGCTGTAAAGGGTTTCTTAGTTGTTCTTCCCTATGTTTCTATCGTGTTCAGAAATGGATTTTTCTCCTGAGCTTCAGTGCTTTGGCTGAAGCACCTGGGAACTCACCCTTTGGAAAAACATTTATTTTCTTCCTTTCGGACCTCTGCAGGTGAGCACCAGTGTGATGAGCGTGTATAGTGGAGATTTTGGCAACGTGGACGTGAAGGGGAATCTCCAGTTTGCCATTGACTATGTGGAACAGTTGAAGGAGTTCCATATTTTTATTGCCCAGGGCAAGGATTTGGCAATTGCAGACATGAAAAGGCAACGATCAGATCCGTAAGTGGAACTAGGGAAGAGAACCTGAAACATCCATTTCTTAAAAGAGAAAGAACTGTGCTGTATTACTTTCATTATTTATTTATTTATCTGTACCTCACCCTCATTACTTTTATGAATAACTCAAGGTGGCAAACATATCCAGCATACCTTCCTCCTCCCATTTTCTCCACAACAACCCTATGAGGTGGGTTGGACTAAGAGAAAGTAAATGGTTCAAAGTTACCCAGCTGGCTTTGATGCCTAAAGTGGGACTAGAACTCACAGTCTCCTGGTGATTGACCCAAAGTCACCCAACCGACTTTCATTCCTAAGGCGGGACTAGAATTCACAGTCTCTTGGCGATTGGCCCAAAGTCACCCAGCTGGCTTTCAGGGCTAAGGCAAAAGAGAATTCAGAGTCTCCTGCTAATAAAATAAATGAATAATAATTAAAATTAATAAATAAATTAAAAAGAAAATAAAAACAAACAAGCAAAACTCAAAGGACAGACTCGATGGATCATCGGGTCTTTTTCTGTCGTCAGTTTCTAAAAGTAAATGTGCAAACCCAACCAGGGCTGAAGAGGAATTTGTAGAGGAAAAAATATTAGTAACAAATGTTTCAGTTTTTAGAAGACGTTTGTAAAGAAAACATATATTTCTTTTTTTTTTTTTCCATTTAAAGAGAAACTTTAAACATAATCTACCAAAGGTTTTTAGGATGGCTTCACTGGAAATTGTATTCTGATTGTCTTCTCATATTTGGCTATGAAACCTTTTTTAGTTATGTGAAGAGTTACCTGCTACCAGAAAAACATAAACTGGGCAAAAGAAAGACCTCTGTGAAGAAGAAGACACTGAATCCAGTCTACAATGAGATATTACGGGTAACTTGCATCTGTCTCCTTGTTTCTGATGAGGGGTTCATCCAGATGAGGGTAGATTAACTCCAAGATTAACATCAGACCAACAGTCAAGTAAACAATACACCAATCAAAAAACTACCAAACAAGCCAACAGTAAACTGTCCAACCAAAGAACTAAGACCACCCCAGGGCAAGCCACTAGAATATATACTGAGAGCAAACCCCACTCCTAACTATCATGTTTCCCTGAAAATAAGACTGGGTCTTATTTATTGATTGATTGATTGATTGATTGCCTCCAAAAGAGGCACCAGGTCTTATTTTTGGGGTAGGCCTTACCTCACCTCCGGCACCGACAGCCCCACCCAGCCGGTCCACTTCTTCTGGGGCTGAAGTTCTGCAGCTGTATTCGGGCCTGCATTTTACAGTCAGGCCTTTCCAGAAGGCCTAAGCAGCCGAGTACTGAGCTATGGATTCAATCTATAGCTTGATGCTTGGCTTCTGAGGTCTTGCAGAACCAAGCTATGGACTGAACCCATAGCTCGGTTCTTGGCTGCACAGGCCTTCTGGAAAGCCCATGACTGAGAAATGCAGGCCTGGCTGCAGAAGAGGCCTCAAAAGAAGAAGTGGACCGGTGAGGAGAGGTCTGGCTGCCAGGTAAGTGGGTGTGGGGCGGATGGAGCAGCTCCACACCCGCACCCCAGCTTGATTTTTAGGTGTGTGCCTTGCCCCAAAACTAGGGCTTATTTTGGGGGCAGAGCTTATATTAGGCCCACCCCCCAAAAAAATCAAGCTAGGGCTTATTGTTGGTGTAGGCCTTACTTTCAGGGAAACAGGTAGCACTGAAGATGTTACCTAGTTTGGGTAATGAAATGTCTGCAAGAAAACAACCAAGCAAGGTTGTTTTCAGTAGCAAGGACCCCTCATTTCAACTCTGAGCTACAAATATTCACCTTTATTGTTCTTGATGAAATAGCTCTACACTTCTGTTTGGCTGAAAGATGGGGGCTATATAAATGTGATAGACAGACAGACAAATAGATGGTTAGATGGATAGATGGATGGATGGATGGATAAATAGATAGATAGACAGACAGACAGGATGGATGGATGGATGGACGGACGGACAGACGGATGGGTGGATGGACAGACAGGTGGATGGACGGACAGACAGACAGACACTGGCTATTCTGACAGGTTTTGGGGTAGGGTGGCCAGTGAACCCCTGCCAGATTTTCCTTCATTGCTCCATATGGTTTTCTCTTCCAAGTGCCCATATCATGTTCCTCACTTTATTGCATCCTGCTTTTAAATCATTCAGCATCGTGTGGAGACAGATGGCCTCTACACTATATAAATAAAATATAAGTAAATAAAACTGCCCAGACTGCAGGAAACTGGGTAGTTGAGGCAAGCAGTTGATCACAACTCCATTCTCCTTGGAGGCGGCTTTCTTCAACTTTAGAAGAATCGTACCTAAGAACCAGTGTAATATACGGTTAGCCTTCGACTTAACAACAGTTCATTGACGGACCAAAGTTATAACAGCACTGAAAAAAGTGACTTATGACCGATTTTCACACTTAACGACCATTGCAGCATTCCACACAGCCACATGATCAAATTTTGGACACTTGGCAGTTGGCTGATATGACAGCTGTGATGTCCCAGGATCGTGTGATCACCGTTTGCAACCGTCTGACAAGAAAGATCAAGGGGGAATCCATATTCACTTTAGAACTGTGTTATTAATTTAACCGCTGCAGTGATTGTGGCAGAAAAGGTTGTAAAATGGGGAAATTCACTTAATGACCGTCTTGCTTAAGAACGGAAATTTTGGGCTTAGTTATGGTTGTAAGTTGAGGACTACCTATAGTGGGAGTCAGTAACACGCTTGTCATGTAGAACATTTGTGGAGTTTATCAGAATCAGCACCAACTGTGATGACCTATAATCAGTCAAAACATAGTATCCATCAATTACAAGGCAGTATTTGCAAACACTCTCTGAGTTTTAATTTAAATTTATTTATTTTTATTTCCTTTGTTTTTATCTTGCTGTGTTTTACAAGGACTAATGGAGGTGCTTAATTAAAATCACAACACAGCAACAGAATAGTAAATGCAATTAATCAAAACTGGCAGAATTCTAGATCAACAATAAAATTAAAACCATGATGAATAGTGATCCAGAGGTAGGAACAGCTGAAATCCTGTGAGGTTTCAGCAGCCTTCATCAGAAAATTGAAATATTGCATGCAATATTGTGAAATGTAGGTCACATGAGTTCTTGGGAATATTTTTTTAAAAAAACTCTTGCAAGATTTAGCAAAATCTTCAGATTTTGGACAATTTTATTTATAGAGAAGACATCTAGAGCAGTGGTTCTCAACCTGTGGGTCGGGATCCCATTTGGGGTCGAACGACCATTTCACGGGGGTCGTCAAACAACGCAGTCCGCCATTTCCCCCCTCTTTTCCTTAGCTGTGCTCTCTTGAATAGAGTCTAATTCTATTGACTTTCAAAAGCCTATAGGAATTGTCCAGCCTGTCTCTGCCCTGCTGAGCCTGCCAAAAGTCCCATTCTGCAAATGGTGCTGCACCAGTTGAGTAGTCCTCGACTTACGACCGGTTGAGTAGTCCTTGACTTACGACTGGTTGGGGGTCATGGCATTAAAAAGGTTGAGAACCACTGATCTAGAGCTTGAAATGATAGAGAACTATAACATTATTCATGAGTTAGAATTATTGGAATGGTTGATTGAAGCTGATTTGAAGATGAAGAGTAAGTCTGCCAGGAGTAGCCAGTTATAATAACTAAAAAAAATGTATTCCAGAACCTCTGGGTTAGATATCATGGTGTTACGGGTGCAGGAAAACGGGTCCGTTCTCCATGTCTGATTTCGCTCTGCTGGGGACCCTAAAAAGGGTCTAAAGTTGTCCTGGAAGAGGCAACAAAGAAGGAGGGGATCCTTGTTGATCGAGGAGAGGTGGCAGCCCTTCCGTTTGATCCGAGGAAGCCGTCCAAATCAGCAGTAGAAAGACTGGCCACATTCATGTGGCCAGCCAAAAGCCACCGACAACCCAAGATAAGCACTAATTAGCAACTTCTGAACAACACGGATGGAACTGGGTGAGAACGTAATCCTTTCTTTATAACTTTAAAACTTCTTCCTGGAAAAAAAGAATTCCCAAGCAAAGAATGCCCCCAGATGATAGAGAGAAGAGGAATTTCCACCCCGTTCTCTCAGGAAAAGAGAAGCGGCAAATAACTTTCCTTGGGGGAAAATTAGAGAAAACTACAACATTAATTTGGAGACATAGCTTGGACAAATTTGGGGACTAAAAGTATTTTTAAGACTTTCTTTTTGAAAAGATATTTGGAAAGTTGGTGAAATAAGTTTGGACTTAAAAGCTGGAAGATGGATGTTAAGGACATCTAGTGGTAAACTTTGGCATTACAATGTATTATGCTTAAAGAAAATTTGGCACAAAGCCCGGACATAAATAAGGCTCTTTGTTGTTCCTGGAAACTTTCACTTTTGCAGACTGCAGCTGGGAAAATTGGGGGGGGGGAGATCCTTGGGCTGTTTTATCTGTATGAAGGAGACAATAAACCATTCTGAATTGGCCGGCCTGGATTACAAATATTGACTGACTTTTAGTTTCAAGAATTATCAAGAAATATTAAAAAACAGTGGGAAAGTTGCTACTGGACTATTTCTCTTCGGAAGAAACATGGATAATCAACAAGAAAATGTAAATGGACTTCAGAAAGAAATTCTTTCCATGTTGAAATCAATTCAAGAGACAATTGTTTTAAATTATGAGATTAAAAATAATTTAAATAATATAAATGAGTAACTTTCCATCTTAAACTTACAAGCAGAAAACGTTCAGAAAATGACCATAAAGAATGAACTAGCAACTCAGAAACCAGAAGAAAAAACAGAGGAAACTGATACAAAGGTGGAGGATTTGAAAGAACAAACCAACAGACAGGTACAGATAAATAAAAATTTGGAAGACTCAGATATAACATCGGAAATGGGAAAGACATTTTACTTTTCAAGACTTCAGAACATATTTGAGGATAAAGAAGAATTGATACGAATGGATGATAGAGTTGTTAGGAGAAATGCTGAAAACTGGAGAACAAGAAACTAAAAGAGAAACTGAAGGAGAAAGAAAATGGAGGCTGTTTAACGAATATAAATGGATTAAGTGTTTTAACAAAAACACTTTAATTAAATTGTCTTTTTTATTCCATACAATATATACAGAAACAGGAATAAATACTTGGTGATCTAAACACATTGAGTTGCAAAGTTATTTGGCAAAGGAAGAAAGCTAGAGTAAGATTGAAGAAAATAGAGGTCCTGACTAATTAGATGAGGTATTATACCATCTAATGCAGTGGTTCTCAACCTGTGGGTCGGGACCCCGTTTGGGGTCGAACGACCATTTCACGGGGGTCGCCAAACAACGCAGTCCGCCATTTTTTTCCCCCTTTTCCTTAGCTGTGCTACTCCCTTTTATTCTATTGGCTTTTGAAATCCAATAGAATAGACTTTCTTGAATAGAGTCTAATTCTATTGGCTTTCAAAAGCCAATAGGAATTGTCCAGGCTGTCTCTGCCCTGCTGAGCCCGCCAAAAGTCCCTTTCTGCAAACGGTGCTGCACCAGTTGAGTAGTCCTCGACTTACGACTGGTTGAGTAGTCCTCGACTTACGACCAGTTGGGGGTCGCGGCATTAAAAAGGTTGAGAACCACTGATCTAATGGATGTTTGAATATGATTAAAAGAACAGACAATTGTTAGAAATAAAAGGACCATTATGAATTAGAAGGATGCGATTTGTAACTAGGATAACATAATTTTCTATAAGATGGGAAATTTAAAAATACTAAGAGGGTCAGTATAAAGGAAGCTTTTAGTTACCCAAATGTAATTGATTATGAGAAAAATGATAATTGATAAAGTTATTTTGAATATTGATTGGAAATTAAAATTGAAAAAAAGAGAAAAAACAGGATATGGATTGAATAAGGAAACTTTGATTGCAAATACATTTGAGATATTATAAACTGACATTATTGACACTATATATAACATTAGAAACATGTGATGAAGATGCTTATATTTAATTATATAGGTACTGATAGCAGTAAGAATTGTATTTGCTTAGTGTGGAAAAAGGATTATTATTGGAAGAAGAGAGGACCAGAGAAATACTGGATGCTGTAGTATTGGCTATTTTGAGTGAAAGTTAATATGTACCACTGAATGACAAAGGAACCGAGACACGACATTGTTTATTAAGTACTTATGATTGTAAAACTTGAAATTAATCAAATATTTATAAAAAAATGTATTCCAAAACAATAAAGTGAGGAACCCAGAAACCAAATTACAGAATTACAGAACCATAGAGTTGGAAGGAACCTTGAAGGTCTTCTTATCCAAACCCCTCCTCAGGTAGGAGACCCAATACCATTTCAGATAAAAGGCAGTCCAGTCTCTTATTAAAAACTTCCAGTGTTGGAGCACCCATAACCTCTGGAGGCAAGTTGTTCCACTGATTAATTATTCTAACTGCCAGAAAATTTCTCCTTAATTTTAGGTTGGTTCTCGATTAGTTTCCATCCATTACTTCTTGTCCTGCCTTCAGGTGCTTCGAGATTGACCACTCTTCTCTGTAATCTTACAAATACTGAAACACTACTACCATGTCACCCCAGTCCTTCTTTTCGTTAGACGAGACCAGGGGTAGGCAATTTTGGCTCTTTTATGAGTCGTGGACTTCAACTCCCAGAATTCCTGAGCCAGCATGGCTCAGCTTGGAAACCTCTCCCTTTCCCCTCAGCATGGCTGGCTCAGGAATTCTGGGAGTTGAAGTCCACGAGTCATAAAAGAGCCAAAGTTGCCTACCCCTGGACTAGACATATCCAGTTCCTGCCACTGTTCATCATATGCTTTAGCCTCCAGTCTCCTAATCATCTTTGCTGTTCTTCTCTGTACTCTTTCTAGAGCATCAACATCTTTTTTGTATTATGGGGACCAAAGCTGTCATTTCTAACCCTGCCCCGACCTCTGACTGTTGATGGTAGGGATGCTAATGTCACCATGAAAAATGTAGGGTCGTGTCTACAAATCAGAGGCTCTATGGCAGCGGTTCTCAACCTATGGGTCGCGACCCCATTTGGGGTCGATCGACCATTTTTTGGGGGTCGCCAAAGAAGGCGATCCGCCATTTTCTTCCCTCAGGGGGTGGCGCCGCGCATGCGCGCAGCGTCGCGCATGCGCAGAACGTTTGTGTGACGGGGGTTGCCGTCACACAAACGTTGAGAACCGCTGCTCTATGGAAAGGAGACTTCATCTTAACTATGTCTGTTTCTTTATCTGCAGTATAAAATTGACAAAGCCATTTTGGAGAGTCAAAGCTTGAATGTCTCCGTTTGGCATCACGATACTTTTGGGCGCAATAGTTTCCTGGGTGAAGTGGAGCTGGATTTGGCCAACTGGGACTGGAGTGACAATCAGAACAAACAAATGATCTGGTATCCATTGAAACCAAGGGTAAGTTTTGATTTCCTAAGTGTGTTCTCTGAGCTAAAATGTTGTTCGGGTCACCTTCCCGTATCCGACATAGCACAATCTTCCCAAATACTACAAGGAATGTAAAAAATGTTTGCCATAGTGGCGAATATCTGTAGCTCGGGTGTAGGATGAGGGTGAAGATTTGTTCTCTGAGCTTGTGGGTTCGTTTTCCGAACGTTGCGTTACCAGGTTAGCTAACAACTTCAGCGGAGTTTAGGGGATGTCAGTGTTAGTTTTCAGTAGGTCTTGTGATGGTGAGGTCACGTCACAAGACCAATCACAGGATCCTGACCTGATGGGACCCTCACCTAATGGGACCTCCCCATCACAAGACCCATCACAAGCCTTTCCCTGATGACTCACAGCTGACCCATCCCAAGACCCTCACTTGACACACCCACACCTGAAGCCCTTATCAAATCAAATCAACCTTTATTGTCCAAGTACAACATGTGTACAATGAGATTGGCTGAGCCTCCCTTCGTGTGCCCCCCCAACACAACTCACAGTGACAACAAACACACAATCTTATTGTACCATGTGAACTTAGTGCACAACGCGCCGGCCCCACAAGTTTATCATACATGAGTTATTTTCCATTCAGGAGTCTGACAGCCCATGGGTAGAAACTGTTCTTCAGCCTGTTGATGCTTCTACACCCGATCGTAGGAGAGTAAAGAAGTGCTGACCAGGGTGTGAGTCATCCCTGAGGATTTTCCTCACTCTTCTAAGGCAGCGGGCCCTAGCAATGGCGCCTAGTGGTATCAGGGGACAGCCCACGATGTTTTGTGCTGTGCTCATCACCTTCTGTAGTGTCTTTCTATCCGCGGCTGTCAAGCCAGCATACCACACCATAATGCAACAGAAGAGCACGGACACTGACATCCCCTCAAGTCCGCTGAAGACGTTACCTGGACACCAACCTGCAAGCTCAGAGAACGAACCTTCACCCTCACCTAAATCATGACTTATGTCCTGAAGTACAAAGCTTCTGTGCTTCTGTTGCCTTCGTAAAGCTTGTTGCCATTAAAACTTAAAACAAATCCAGTATATATATGTATATTGGCTTTGTGGTGGAGAGTTTTTGTTTTGGAAATTAAGATACGTAAACATAAGTCCTTGACTTAAGACCGGTCACATTATGTAGTTGATCGTGAGGGCCCCAGGGACTGATTGTACTCATTTGGGCATTTTGTTTGATGAAAAGAGTTACAGAAGTACAGAGTGAGTGTGCATTAGGCTTTTCGTAAGCGTTGACTGTTTTTGCTTTATTTCTTCATTTGTTTTTTTCCAAATGGTGAAGACACCCTTAAAAGGATTAGATCTTGAAAACAGAGGGGAGATAAAGATTGCTCTCCAGTATGTCCCACAGCCTGTTGGAGGTAAGTATTCCAGTTTTATTTATGTGTATGTGTGTGTGTGTATACATATACATACAGACATACACACACACACATACACTGTATATATTTATTTGCTTGTATAGATAGTCCTCGACTTACAATAGTTCATTTAGTGACTGTTCAAAGTTACAACAGCATTGAAAAAAGTGACTTAGGACTGTTTTTCACACTTACGACCTTTGCAGCATCCCCATGGTCACGTGATCAAAATTCAGGCAGTTGACAACTGACTCATATTTATGACAGTCACAGTGTCCTGGGACTATGTGTGATCCCCTTTTGCAACTTTCTGACAAGCAAAGTCAATGAGGAAGCCAAATTCATTTAACAACCAGTTTACTAACTTCACAACTGCGGTGATTCGCCTAACAACTGTGGCAAGGAGGGTTGTAAAGTGGGGCAAAACTCACTTAACAAATGTCCATGTCAACGCTGCTAATATTGAATATTCTTGCTTTGACAAAATATTAAGAACTGTCTGGTACTTTTAGAGTTAATTCAGATGAGTGAGGGAGGAAAGAAAAGCCCCGAAAGGGAACTGGAAGAGAACCTTAGCCCTTCAAACTAATCGGAGAACGTAAAGCATGACAGCAAAATAAGGGAGGGAAAATGCTAGCAAAAATAACTGCCCAGGAGGGTGGAGATTTCAGATCTTAGCATCCTTTCACCATGCCTTGCTGAGATTTTATCACATGAATAAAAAGACTTTTTAGGATAAAATGCCTGGAAGTTCTTTGAAGTGTTTCATTAGTCGCAACCTTGACAGTCCACTTAACCACAGAAATTGTGGGCTCGTAAGTCGAGGACTGCCTGTAGTGCAAGGGCAAACTTGACAACTTTAAGGCTTGTTGCTGGCTGAGCAACCATTTGTCTGAATAGGGGTTGGACTAGAAGACCTCCAAGGTCCCTTCCAATCCTGCTATTCTGTTATTCTCTTCTGCTATATATATATATATAAAAGCAATCAACAGATCATCCCAAAAGTAAAATTAATATTTAAAGCCCTCTGTTAATCATCTGTTATATATGTCTCCGTTTTAAAGGCAAAAAGACTTCAGCTACCGGCGAAGTTCACATTTGGGTGAAACAGTGCAATGACCTGCCTATGCTCAGAGGCCCAAAACTCAATTCTTTTGTGAAGTGGTAAGTACATCGCTGAGCAAAGAGGCTTAGTGGTTAAAGTGGTTAAACTTGCTGACCTTATCAGCTGGCAGCCCAGGTTTATGATCTGAGTGCTGCACGGTGGGGTGAGCTCCTGTTCCTTGCTCCAGCTCCACCTAGCAGTTTGAAAGCACACAACTGTGAGTAGCAATAGAAATAACACTTAGACTTATCTACCGCTTCACAGTGCTTTACAGCCCTCTGTCTAAGCGGTTTACAGAGTCAGCATATTTTCCCCAACAATCTGGGTCCTCATTTTACCGACCTCGGAAGGATGGAAGGCTGTGTCCACCTTGAGCTGGTGAGAATCGAACTGCTGGCAGTCGGTAGTCAGCAGAAGTAGCCTGCAGTACTGCATTCAAACCACTATGCCACCAAAGCTCTTGATAAATAAGTACCACTTCTGTGGGAAGGTCACAGCATTCTGTGCACCACAGCGTACAGTCATGGTAGCCCCACGATCATCAAGGTGTCTTCAGACAACGCTGGTTTCCTCAGCTAGGAAGTGGAGATGAGCACTGCCCTCTAGAGTAGGAGAGGACTGGACAGGGGATACCTTTACCGTCACCTTCTAAGTACAGTGAATGTTCTCCAGTGTGACAACTGCGTTGTGGAACAGAACTGATTGGGTGTGATTGGAAATTCTCCACTCAAGGTTGTTCAACATAGTATTTCAGTCATGCCGTACTGTAGTAGAACAGTTGAAAAATTGCCATGGAATCGCACAAGAACATCAGGATGTTTTAATAATAACATAATTATTATGTTAATAAAACTTTTTTTATTAGGTTTTACCTGTCTCGTGTAGTATTGTTGTAAAGTATACCATCTAAATCATGGGTGTCCAACCTTGGCAACTTCAAGCAAGGCTGGCTGAGGAATTCTGAGAGTTGAAGTCCAGAGGTCTTAAAGTTGCTTATGTTGGATACCCTGATCTAAAGTGTATTTGTTATCATTTCTTTTGCCCGTTCTCCAAAGTACCGTTCTTCCGGATACAAGTCGAAAGAGCCGTCAGAAAACCAGAGCCGTTGCGAAGACGACAGATCCGATCTTCAACCACACCATGGTTTACGATGGCTTCCGACCGAAAGACTTGAAAGAAGCATGCGTGGAACTTACTGTCTGGGATCATAATAAACTTGCCAACCATTTCCTGGGAGGACTTAGAATAGGACTTGGAACAGGTACAAATTTCTTTCTTTCTTTCTTTCTTTCTTTCTTTCTTTCTTTCTTTCTTTCTTTCTTTCTTTCTTTTTCTTTCCTTCCTTCCTTCCTTCCTTCCTTCCTTCTTTTCCTTCCTTCCTTCCTTCCTTCCTTCTTTCTTTCTTTCTTTTCTTTCTTTCTTCTTTCTTTCTTCTTTCTTCCTTCCTTCCTCTCCCTCCTTTTTCATTCATTTTCTTCTTTCTTTCTTTCTTTTTCTTTCTTTCTTTCTTCTTCCTTCTTCCTTCCTTCCTCTCCCTTCCCTCCCTCCCTCTTTTTCATTCATTTTCTTCTTTCTCTTTCTTTCTTTCCTTCCTTCCTTCCTTCCTTCTTTTCTTTCTTTCTTTCTTTCTTTCTTTCTTTCTTTCTTTCTTTCTTCTTTTCTTTCTTTCTTCTTTCTTTCTTCTCTTTCTTCCTTCCTTCCTTCCTCTCCCTCCCTTTTTCATTCATTTTCTTCTTTCTTTCTTTCTTTCTTTCTTCTTCCTTCCTTCCTTCCTTCCTTCCTTCCTTCCTCTCCCTCCCCTCCCTTCCCTCCCTCCCTCTTTTTCATTCATTTTCTTCTTTCTTTCTTTCTTTCTTTCTTTCTTTCTTTCTTTCTTTCTTTCTTTCTTTCTTCTCTCCCCCCCCCCCAGGAAGTGTGGAAAATGTTTATAAGTCACTTTGCTCAGTGCCATTGTAACTTCAAACAGTCACTAAACAAATGTCTGTAAGTTGAGGACATCCTGCATTATCATGCAAATAACTAATTGATATTTGCTGCTAATTTCATTTGTTTAAACCCTTTATTAGGCAAAAGCTATGGCGTTCCAGTGGATTGGATGGATTCTACATTAGATGAAGCCAACCTATGGGAAAGAATGATCAACTCTCCCAACACTTGGGTGGAAGATACTCTGCCACTCCGAATGCTGATGGTGGCAAAAATGACAAAGTAGAAACAATGCAGTAATCAGTTGCTTCCAGTTGATATGATTTGCTGGAGTATGATGGCGAGAAGAGCCAGAAAGATACAGAGATAAACATCAAGGGGACCAATTTTTTCATCAGGTGTAAATTTCGGCAGAAAGCATCTTTATGCTGTGTATAACCTGACCTTGTTTTTGCTGGACACCACAAAACATGCTTATCAATTGGTACTGAGTTTTGAATTAAACTCTTTTAATCTTTAATAAACACTGTATGTATTAAAACAGGAAATGTATTTAAAATATGTGCAGTTGTCTTGCGTGGTCTTTTAAGTCGATCGTGAAAAAGAATTAAAGGATTTCTTTAAATAAGCTAAATGACTTTCGGTGAAGATTTATAAGTTGGTGAAGGAGTCAAGCTATTCTCCAAAGCACCTGAAGGCAGGACAAAAAGCAATGGGTGGAAACTGATCAAGAAGAGAAGCAACCTAGAACTAAGGAGAAATTTCCTGACAGTTCAAACCAGGGGTCTTCAAACTTGGCCCCTTTATGACTTGTGGATTTCAACTCCCAGAATTCCTCAGTCAGGCACGCTGGCTGAGGAGTTCTGGGAGCTGAAGTCCACAAGTCATAAAAGGGCCAAGTTTGAAGACCCCTGATTAAAACAAATGATCAGTGGAACGATTTGCCTGCAGAAGTTGTGGATACTCCAACACTGGAAGTTTTCAAGAAGAGATTGACATTTGTCTGAAATGGTATAGGGCAGTGGTTCTCAACCTGTGGGTCGGGACCCCATTTGGGGTCGAACGACCATTTCACGGGGGTCGCCAAACAACGCAGTCCGCCATTTTTTCCCCCTTTTCCTTAGCTGTACTACTCCCTTTTATTCTATTGGCTTTTGAAAGCCAATAGAATAGACTCTCTTGAATAGAGTCTAATTCTATTGGATTTCAAAAGCCAATAGGAATTGTCCAGGCTGTCTCTGCCCTGCTGAGCCTGCCAAAAGTCCCATTCTGCAAACGGTGCTGCACCAGTTGAGTAGTCCTCGACTTACGACCGGTTGAGTAGTCCTTGACTTATGACCGATTGGGGGTCGCGGCATTAAAAAGGTTGAGAACCACTGGTATAGGGTTTCCTGCCTGAGCAGAGGGTTGGACTTTAGACCTCTAAAGTCCCTTCAAACCCTGAATTATTCTGAATCAACTGCAGTCCCAGTGTATCAGTTCTTGCAAATTTGCAATTGTCCCTTTGGGTGATATTCTACAGAACTCAGTGGAATTCAATTCTGTGGAAGCCTTATGAGATTGCACTCTTAATATTTGATCATCGATAAGCTCCATTCATCATTGATCATAGCAGGACTGGCTTCTAAGTAGATATAGACAGGGGCACACTTTCAGCTATTTAAATGGTAAGCCATCTGTATCCACACTTGCCGAAAAGGTTGTCTTTTTTGCTAGCTTTATATGTTTCACCTTTATTACTTTCTTAATTGTCCGGTCAGCAGTAATCTTCAAGAGTTACAATCTGGTGCTGGAGAAATAAAATATATATTTGTTGCATGGGGACAGCCAAAACTTTCATTCCCCCCCCCCCCCTTTGGAGGCTTTAAAAGGAACAGCTAGAGTCTGTTTGCAGTCTAGGTTTCCACGGAGATGCAAACTCAAGAAGAGTGTCAGGACATTTCAAGAGAGTCAGAGAATAAAAACATGGTAAGGAGAGAGTTTACTGATCTAATGTAAACTTTCTTTCTAATAATTCTCTAAATGAAATGGATGTGTGTAAGAATGATCAAATCCAGGACCTGTAGCTCAAACAACGATGGCAAAAATGGAGAAGCGGACAAAATCAGATAAGTTTGCATTAATGTTTATTAATCTCACGTCCAAGTCTTAACTGTTTAACTTTGAGAGTATTAAACATTTTTCAAAATTAATTTCAAATGAAGGAGAAATCTCCTGTCAGTGGCAATAATTAATCAGTGGAACGACCTGCCTCCAGAAGTTGTGGGTGCTCCATCACTGGAGGTTTGTAAGAAGAAATTGAACAGCCATTTGTCTGGAATAGTATAGGATCTCCTGCTATGGACGGGGTTGGACTAGAACAGGGGTAGGCAACCCAAAACACTCAAAGAGCCACTTGAACCCGTTTCCCACCAAAAACAAAACACTGGGAGCCGCAAAACCCTTTTGATATCTAAAATGAAGATAACACTGCATATATCCTTTTTTATCTTTATTATAGGTGTTTTTTTTTTGTGTGTGTGTGTGTGTGTGTGAGAGAGAGAGAGAGAGAGAGAGAGTTTGTGTGTGTGTGTGTGTGTATATACACACACAAATACACACACACATTAAAAATAAAAGTAAAAATATGACTCTTGGGAATATCCATACTATTAAAACAATGATCACCAAGAGAATGCTTTAAGAGAATAAAATTACATACACACAAAGGTAAAAAAGGATATATGCAGTGTTATCTTCATTTTAGATGTCAAAAGAGTCTCTCTCTCTGTCTCTCTCCCTCCCTCCCTCTCTGCCCTTGGTCTGCCACTCCTCTTCCCCCACTCTCTTTCTTTCTCTCTCTTTCCTCTCTCTCTCTCCCCCTCCCCCCCTCTCTCTCTCTTTCTCTCTCTCTCTCTTTCTCCCCCCCCCCCTCCTATCTGCTGCTCACCTGGCAACCTTCAAGTTGTTCTCCAACAATCTCAGGGGTAAGCAACCTCGTCTCTTTTATGACTCATGGACTTCAACTCCCAGAATTCCTGAGTCAGCCTAGCTGGGCTAGCTAGCTCTCTCCTGCCCTTCCTGCTTCCTGCTTCCTGCAGAGACGCAGCAAAGGGAGGAGCTCCGCCCAGAAAGCTTTTCAGCTTCTCGGAGAACACTGAGTGCACTCTCTTTTTTACACACACACACACACACACACACACACACACACACACACACACACACACACACACACACACACCACACACACACACACACACAAAACACACACAGAAAGAGAGAGAGAGAAGCAGGGAAGCGCAATTCCTCTCTCTGTCTCTGTCTCTCTCTGCAAAGGCAGAGGAGGCTGGGAGCCACAGGGGAAGGCTCAAAGAGCCGCATGCGGCTCCGGAGCCGCAGGTTGCCGACCTGTGGACTAGAAGACCTCCAAGGTCCATTCCAGTTTTATTATTCTATGTCCTGTATTCTTTGTAAGCATGTTTTTCCCCCTGTGTTTCCTCTAGTAAGCTCCATCTACTCCTTATATGCCTTTTCATTGTAAATAGGCAGTCTACTTAACATGATGGAGTGTTTCCTAAAGAATTCTCTATTATATTGATTCCAGGAAAGAGCATTGTAGTATCTATGTTGAGCCATTTTTGGTTTTTAACAACTACACTGTTTTACCTAGAGACAGTAATTTAACAAAGCTTCTAGGACAGTGGTTCTCAACCTGTGGGTCGGGACCCCATTTGGGGTCGAACGATCATTTCACGGGGATCGCCAAACAACGCAGTCCGCCATTTTTTTCCCCTTTTCCTTAGCTGTGCTACTCCCTTTTATTTTATTGGCTTTTGAAAGCCAATAGAATTAGACTCTCTTGAATAGAGTGTAATTCTATTGGCTTTCAAAAGCCAATAGGAATTGTCCAGGCTGTCTCTGCCCTGCTGAGCCCGCCAAAAGTCCCATTCTGCAAACGGTGCTGCACCAGTTGAGTAGTCCTCGACTTATGACCGGTTGAGTACTTGACTTACGACCGGTTGGGGGTCGCGGCATTAAAAAGGTTGAGAACCACTGTTCTAGGATTAAAGAACAAGCATGACAAAGGACAAAGACTTAACTCCCACCCCCATTATATGTTCATTGAGTGGAGTTTCAACAGGTGGCATCTTTATAGTTTGAAAACTATAGCTCAGATTGGATTGGCATGCTGGCTGAGGAATTCTGGGAGTTGAAGTCCACAAGTCATAAAAGGGCCAAGTTTGAAGACCCCTGCATTAGAGTTGGGATAGAAAAACCCCAACCTTGATGCAGAAAGAGAGCAACAATAATTTCCCCTATTTCCAGAGGTACTCAGCATTCACAAAACAGACGGAAATCCCAATAAATAGAGTGGGATGTTTTTGAGTAAACGTTTATGAAAGTTGGCAATCCTTTTAAGAACTTTTTTATACACAGGTAGTCCTCAACTTACAACCACAGCTGAGTCCCAAATTTCTGTTGCTAAGTGAGACAGTTGTGATGTGAATTTTATCCCTTTTTACGACTTTTCTTGCCCCCGTTGTTAAGTGAATCACTGTAACTGTTAGGTAACATGATTGTTAAGTGAATCTGGCTTCCTCATTGACTTTGCTTGTCAGAAGGTTGCAAAAGGTGACCCTGGGACATTGCACCCGTCATAAATATGAGTCAGTTGCCAACCGGTTGAATTTTGATCCCATGACCATGGGGATGCTGAAATGGTCATAAGTGTAAAAGCTGGTCCTAAGTCACTTTTTTCAGTACCGTTGTAATTTTGAACGGCCACTAAAAGAACTGTTGTAAATCGAGGGCTATCTGTATTCCATAGAAATCCCAGCGTATTGGGACACCTTGAAATGGAGGTAAAGCAGCTTTTGAATTAAGAGGAGTCAAGGAAGCACGATCATCTTCTGCTTTCTCTTTGTGTTTTTGAATAAACAGGTTTAGGAAGGCCGCAAAAGCATCTCTTGAAAAGTATGGTTCGTGTTTTTCTTCGAGAGGATTTGAGAAGGCACCAGTTGAAAAGATGAACATTTACCTCTTCTTAAGAGTATTGTTTATTGGGAATTGACTGATAACAAGAACTGACCCAACTTAAAATCTATTAGATATGGATTGATTTCGTGCTGTTTCTTTTGTCCCTGATTACACTGAAGAGTTACATCATTTCTCTGTTGAACACAAACGGATGTTTTTCACCTACAGTGAAAAAGTCAAGAGGATCAAGACATAGGAGAAAACTAGTAGGTTGGTTCTGGAAAGCTGGGGCCTTCTAAGCTTGTGATGTCACAGAATTCTCGGAATTTCTCCACCAACTGTCATTTGGACCCATTGAACTTCTGAAGGGCAGTCCAGAATTTTTGAATGTTCACCTGAAGAAAGCTACTGGGGAACTTGTGTCTGGAACAGCAAAAAAAATCGTTTCTTGATATGCCTCAGGACGGGAAGAATCCGAAAATATCCAAAGAGATGGAAGGAGAGCTAGAATGGAGCATGGGAGATCCTTTTGACCAGTTGGAGAAGCTCCATGGTCTGTCTGATGAGGAGAAGGGCGAGAAGGCCCTGTTGCGTTCGCGCCTCAA